ATTCTCGAGATGTGGTGGGGGTGGCCCACTCGCTATGCATTTACGTTAAGAGGTGATTGGTAAAAATTTATACAGTTGGTTCTTCTGATCTCCAGAGAAATCACTTTGCGTCGACTTTACGTTATATCGCATGTCCCAGTGGCAAAGCGCGGCCAGCTCGGCCATAGGCTCGATAGGCTTGAGATATTCCAACAGGGAATAATTGCTAACGTAATCCACAAGTGGGTGAATCACACAAGTGGATGAATCAGTCCCCCGCCACTTTCGTACAGGCTGTCTTCTTTCCCCCTTTTCTCCACCAATAATTATGGTACGACAATCAAATAAAAGCGATTTAGTTCTCGCGCTAAATGCGCTTCAATCGAACCCAGAATTGAGCGTACGAAAGGCTGCACAGATCTATAATGTATCCTTCTCAACCCTCCAACGTCGACAACACGGCCGACCTGCGCAACAAGATATCCGACCACCTTGCCAGAAATTGACCTCGTACGAAGAGGACAGTATCGTACGATATATAATCGACCTAGATTCGCGATCGTTTCCACCGCGGTTAGGTGGTGTTCGAGAAATGGCGGATCGACTCCTCCGCGTGCGCGACGCGCCACGCGTCGGAACGAACTGGGCCTCAAACTTCGTACGACGACGATCAGAGCTCCGTACGCGTTTTAATCGAAGAATCGACTACCAGAGAGTCCTCTGCGAAGATCCAGACGCGTATCGCGCGTGGTTTGGGCTCGTACAAAACATAATCGCGAAATACGGGATCCACGATGACGATATCTACAACTTCGACGAAACGGGCTTCGCGATGGGTAAAATCTCCGCCGAAACTGTCGTTACGACCTCCGATCGACGCGGGAGGCCAAGAGCCGTACAACAAGGCAATCAGGAATGGGTTACAGTAATCCAGGGTATCGCGTCGTACGGCTATTCAATCCCGCCGTACATTATCTTCGCCGGGAAGGTCCACCTCGACTCCTGGACCGCGAATAGCCCTCTACCGGCCAACTGGGTAATCGCGCTTTCAGAAAACGGTTGGACGACGAACGAGAGAGGCCTAGAATGGGTAAAACACTTTGATTTCCATACAAAGAGTCGTACGAAGGGTACCCACCGCCTCCTTATCCTCGACGGCCACGAGAGCCACCATTCCGTCGATTTCGAGCTCTACTGTAAGGAACAGAATATTGTTACGCTCTGTATGCCTGCTCATTCGTCGCATAAGCTCCAGCCTCTCGATGTTGGGTGTTTTGGACCTCTGAAACGGGCGTACGGTAAAGAAATCGAAGGTCTAATGCGGGCGCACGTAACCCACGTTTCAAAGGAGGACTTCCTCCCAGCCTTTTATAAGGCGTACGACGCTGCAATGACCAAATCAAACATCCAGGCAGGCTTTCGAGCGACAGGCCTAGTACCGTACGACCCGGACTATGTGATTTCGCAGCTAGATATAAAGCTTCGTACGCCGACACCACCAGGTTCTGCTGGACTACCACCCCCCTGGGTCTCAAAGACGCCGAATAACCCGATTGAGGCCGAATCGCAGAAGGAGTATCTCCAAAATCGCATCGTACGACACCAGAATAGCTCACCGTCGTCTATAATCGTAAGCCTTAAGCAGCTTCATAAAGGGATGGCGATGATGGCACACGAGCAGGACCTTATGCGCCATGATATCGCCGAACTTCGAGATGCGAACGACCGCCTCAGCCGCCGTCGTCGTACGAAAAGAAAGCAGCTACAGAAAGGAGGGTCCGTTACGATTGACCAGGCAAAGGATTTGAAGGCTCAAATCGATGCGACGGAGCAGTTAAGGGCAGAAACGAGTCAGAATAGTGGTCGTACGAGGAGGCCCGAAACGCGCGCGCGGCGATGTGGCGTCTGCGGCGAGCCCGGGCATAATGCTCGTACGTGTCAGAAAGTTGTATCTGCCTCTGAAGAAGAGGATTCTGAATAGTTTCAATTGATTTAAGGCGTTGTGGTTGAATTGTCTTATACATTGTCGTACGAGTACTTGAAAAGTGGCTCACTGACCCGTGTGGCTCACTCACCCGTGGATTACGTTAACTGATAACGTAATCCACAAGTGGGTGAATCACACAAGTGGATGAATCAGTTATCGGGTACTCGTACGACAATGTATAAGTCAATTCAACCATAACGCCTCAAATCAATTCAAACTATTCGGAATCCTCTTCTTCAGAGGCAGATATAACTTTCTGACACGTACGAGCATTATGCCCGGGCTCGCCGCAGACGCCACATCGTCGCGCGCGCGTTTCGGGCCTCCTCGTACGACCACTATTTTGACTCGTTTCCGCTATTAACTGCTGCGTCGCATCGATTTGAGCCTTCAAATCCTTTGCCTGATCAATTGTGAGGGACCCTCCTTTCTGTAGCTGCTTTCTTTTCGTACGACGACGGCGGCTGAGGCGGTCGTTTGCATCTCGAAGTTCGGCGATTTCTTGGCGCATAAGGTCCTGCTCGTGCACCATCATTATAACTCCTTTTCCTAGCTGTCGTAGGCCCTGAACAATGGACGACGGAGAGCTATTCTGGTGTCGTACGATACGATTTTCAATATACTTCGTCTGCGATTCGGTCTCAATTGGGTTGTTCGGCGTCTTTGAAACCCAGGGGGGTGGTAGTCCAGCAGAACCTGGTGGTGTCGGCGTACGAAGCTTTATATCTAGCTGCGAAATCACATAGTCCGGGTCGTACGGTACTAGGCCTGTCGCTCGAAAGCCTGCCTGGATGTTTGATTTGGTCATTGCAGCGTCGTACGCCTTATAAAAGGCTGGGAGGAAGTCCTCCTTTGAAACGTGGGTTACGTGCGCCCGCATTAGACCTTCGATTTCTTTACCGTACGCCCGTTTCAGAGGTCCAAAACACCCAACATCGAGAGGCTGGAGCTTATGCGACGAATGAGCAGGCATACAGAGCGTAACAATATTCTGTTCCTTACAGTAGAGCTCGAAATCGACGGAATGGTGGCTCTCGTGGCCGTCGAGGATAAGGAGGCGGTGGGTACCCTTCGTACGACTCTTTGTATGGAAATCAAAGTGTTTTACCCATTCTAGGCCTCTCTCGTTCGTCGTCCAACCGTTTTCTGAAAGCGCGATTACCCAGTTGGCCGGTAGAGGGCTATTCGCGGTCCAGGAGTCGAGGTGGACCTTCCCGGCGAAGATAATGTACGGCGGGATTGAATAGCCGTACGACGCGATACCCTGGATTACTGTAACCCATTCCTGATTGCCTTGTTGTACGGCTCTTGGCCTCCCGCGTCGATCGGAGGTCGTAACGACAGTTTCGGCGGAGATTTTACCCATCGCGAAGCCCGTTTCGTCGAAGTTGTAGATATCGTCATCGTGGATCCCGTATTTCGCGATTATGTTTTGTACGAGCCCAAACCACGCGCGATACGCGTCTGGATCTTCGCAGAGGACTCTCTGGTAGTCGATTCTTCGATTAAAACGCGTACGGAGCTCTGATCGTCGTCGTACGAAGTTTGAGGCCCAGTTCGTTCCGACGCGTGGCGCGTCGCGCACGCGGAGGAGTCGATCCGCCATTTCTCGAACACCACCTAACCGCGGTGGAAACGATCGCGAATCTAGGTCGATTATATATCGTACGATACTGTCCTCTTCGTACGAGGTCAATTTCTGGCAAGGTGGTCGGATATCTTGTTGCGCAGGTCGGCCGTGTTGTCGACGTTGGAGGGTTGAGAAGGATACATTATAGATCTGTGCAGCCTTTCGTACGCTCAATTCTGGGTTCGATTGAAGCGCATTTAGCGCGAGAACTAAATCGCTTTTATTTGATTGTCGTACCATAATTATTGGTGGAGAAAAGGGGGAAAGAAGACAGCCTGTACGAAAGTGGCGGGGGACTGATTCATCCACTTGTGTGATTCACCCACTTGTGGATTACGTTATGTGATATCTAGTATACACATTTTCCCCCGTGGCGAGTTTTTTTCAATTGGGGGGTATTCACAAGATAACAACAACGCACGATGCCAACATGTCTTCACTCTTTCCGGAGCAAAATGCACAACTAACCGCGCATCTTCAGTGGCTAGCTCAGCAAATCATCCCCCCAGTCCCCAGAGACACAATCATTCAGGATTTCTCCTCAATCCTAGCCAGCTGGATCCAATTAATTAAGGCTACTGCACTTCCAGCAAGCATACCCAGTAATGACGAGTAGAACAAGCCTTTGCAGCTGTTGGGACGGCCATTGATGGCGGTTGTGTATTTGGCAGGATGGCTCACCTCCGCTTACTTAATGTGTTCGCGTCTCTTGAAAAAATCATCCAATCCGAACGCAAGAAGGGCCTGATGATGGGCGAGGAAGAGCGGAAGCAGAAGAATGCTACTCGCGCTATAAACAAAGTCGTCACTCTATTACAGAAGTCGGATCCAAGTGGCAAGCAGCCAAGTCAATATAGGCGCAGAGCGTTTGAGCTAAAGCGAACTACTAAACGATGGACATGGCTTGCGTGCGAGCATCCATTCTTGCTCATGATATACACCGGCGAAGTAGAGGGTGTAGTGTGAGTCTTCTAGTGGAGGCTCTAGCAAGGGTTACTAACTGTTTCTAGGAAGAAATTCAATAAAATCAGCGAAACTTCTGTTCAAATGATAGCAAGCCGAGTTCGGAGTTCCCTTGATCCCAATATCCTAGCGGTCTGCCAGAGACTCGAAATGGAGGCGCAGCTGATCGATTGTGGGGCACCTTAAGACGAGCAGTCCATGCACGCAGCTATTAAGAATGCATTAGGTTGTTGAGCATCGGATTCGTACCTTTAGATTGTCGACAATTGCGTGCAGAACATGGCGGAGCACCGTAGGCGTGTAGTATCCGAGCAATGGTGTCGGGATAGCAATGGTGGGACAGGGCAAGGCAAGGGCGACAGGGTAATGGTCACAGGGCAATGGTCACAGGGCGAGGGTGAAATTCTACCAAATAATCACAACAGAGACCTTATCTTATGACTACTTGGTTCTTGCGTGTTCTCCCAGGCGGACATTTTCAAGCATACGCCAAAAATTGTCCTTACGGAGGGCCGAGGACCCTTGCAAGTCTTAGGCTTACCAATACCACCGATTGTTGTTGGTAAGGACCTTATATATGACAAGTTCCTGTTTAGAGCTGACAAATATAGCAGATAGAATTGATCAACTAAGGCAAGAGTCGATCAAGAATGTCATTACCGTCCTTCATAACCTTCTCATATACCTCCGCGACAGCCGAACCGCATGTTCCTTCGAATGTTCCTCGATTCTCTTGGGTGCGCTTACAAAAGAGTTACGAGCAAGATGTTTTCTCCCTTCTCAACCAGATATCCCGCTAGTATAATGAGATTTCGCTTGAAAAGCGTGATTATAGTGAACTTTTATGAGAAAATACGAGCCAACAGATGTGCTGATCTTTTCGTCCCATCTCAGGCGAGATGGTATTATATATAGCCATTTGAGAGAGTTTGGCTTGCTAAATGGTTTCCTTGTTATGGAATTTGCTTAAACCCGAAGATACGCATACTCCGAAAACCTTAATAGTTACCTACCAATTAATGGCGACGGACTTTAACGCCGAAGGACTTTAAGATGGGTACGTTTATTTGTTGTTTCTCTACATGTTCGGCAGTAATCATTTTGAAGAGGTGGAGAGTAGTAACATTAAGGACTACATTTAGGCCGAATCACTTCATACCAGAGCCCTCACTGCTCCAGCTCCCTCAGGGCCTGGTCAAGGAACTCCTCGCGCCGTTCGGTAAGCAGTTCGGCCGTCAGGTCAGGACGGCCCTGGTCCGCCATCGCCGGCTGAACCCAGCCCATATCAGGCGGGGTGGCGAGGGCCGCCACCGCGTCCCAGTACGCCACGTCCAGTGCAGGACGCCCGGCTTCCTCTTCCCATCCGGACAGGACCTCCGCCGCAGCGGACGGGCCGTAGCAAAGGGCAGCATCGAAGCGGAACGACCCCAGGTCAATTCCCGGGGAGCCAATTCCGGAAGCGTCCCAATCGAGAATCGCAGTCAGCTTGATACCGTCCCACAGCGTGTTGCTATCCCACAGATCGCCATGTACGAACACCACCTGAGTGTCGGCAGGCTTGACGCGCTCGACTGCCTCCGTTGCCCTCCATAGCACTGTTGAGGCGCCATGCTCTCGCCGCAATCCGGCCCAGTCCACGTTTCCGATTGGTCCAGTCCGTGGCGGCAAGGTCGCCAGAGAAGGAACATCCGCAGCGCGAATCCGGCCGCGGTACCATCATCGTGACCGAGGGCCTCCGGCACTGGCAGACCGGCCATCGCCGCATGCCGCATCGCGGCTACCTCGGTCCTGACGTTCCCCGAGTTCGCCTGCGGTGCAATGCGCAACACCGCAGGCTTGCCAGCCGCCCGGATCAGCCAGGGCGACCCGCCTTCGCGCAGACCGCGGTCCACGGTGACGTCACCGCCCAGCACTGTCGCTGCCCACGCCAGAGCAGCCGTATCCGGACGAGCCATCCAGTAAGCGTAGTCCTCTTCGACTGCCGGCCGCAGGATGAGCTATTCGAATCGCGCCGACAGCAAGCCGGTCTAGGGAAGGTGCTCTCGCCCGCGCGTGTACTCCTTTCAGCAGAACAGCCAGAAGGCGGACTGGACGTAGTTCATAAATGCAGTTGGTTGCTTAAGGCGAGGGTGGTTACCGATTCTGGAAGGACAAGCGCATCGACAAAACACAAACGCGACAACCGGAGCCTGCCTTCTTCACTCCTGGGGATTAGCGTCATATTAAGAAACGCTGCAGGGGAAGAAAAAGTCAGTAAGGGTTGCCGCTCCCCGACCACTTCCTTAACTTCAGGCAGCAGCGTGTTCCTTGAGGAGGCAGTGGCAAAGTGGGTCCGAGTGGGTCAGTCATGCTCTACTCGGGAGGCAGTTGGCCACATGTCGGCGACCATCTCGTTCATGAGCCAGGGGCAAGCGCACGATAACTACCGGCCATTGGCAAGCAACGCTGTTTCGATCGATAACATTGGGCAACATCCCTGACGCCACTGGCCTACGGCTGAGTCAAACTGTCCGGTTTTCCCCGACCAAGCATCCTCGGTGTTCAAAATCGGCTGATTTTGCGCCATTGTGCCGTGATTATTGCGCCAACCCCGCAACGGCAGCGGACCTGAAATCAGTTCCGTAGTGAAACGATCTTCAAAATAGGAGGCGAGCCTAGCTCCCAATACGGAAGCTCCAAGCTTCCCTGTCCCTTACATGCAATACACCGTTAGCCTTCGGTCACCGCTGACCAAGTGCCATGTCTCTTGGATCGGTCCTGATCAGAGTAACTTGGATCTGCTTCCTCCCAGTAAGTTGTACCCCTGCTGTTGGGATTTTCAAGATGTTCCAATTAGGCTAACCGACGAAGGTCTTTTCCTGCGTGGGTGAAAGAGGCTGAGACCAACTGCAGGGGCATAGCCGCCCTCATGTGCGAATTGTGGGTCTGTATGCCGACCCAGGCTGATTTGGCAACAGAAATGGCAGATGGTTGCAATGTCGTTCAGCAGTATGCCCAGATCTGGGGCCGGAGCAAGGGACAAAGATTATCAGCCTCGATATTCAGTGGGGTTTGAACGCATTTGAAGCTATTTTGCATCCGACGGGACAACTTACACGGCCGAACCTTCCTTTGCTTATGGCCGGTGAACCTTGTCAAGGTCAGTCTTTCTAACCCTTTTAGGGCATCTGGATCGGGTTCAACCTGGTGGTCTCGAGGGGAACGCACCAGTGTAGGCAGCAGGAATACGGTTGAGACCCTGTTTTGGATTCCTTTCTCCTCCAGCTCGTTCCACAAACTTACTGTAAGATGGGTGCGGTCTTATTCTTTAAGCAACTTGGTCCTCGTCTAGACCAAGGCCTCGTCGACTCGTATGTCGTCCTCAAAGCTATAAATGACCGGCTCTATCCACTGGCTTTTCGCAAATTGAACAGAAATCACAGCCTACAACATCTTCTCTTCCGCACCGGACCACAATTATCAGAGCAGTTCTTGCTTCTCTCAGCGTACTTCACCGCCCAAGATGAAATTCCTTATCGCGTTCCTCGTCTCAGTAGTAGCCTTCGCCTCAGCTGCTGTTATCGACCCGGAGATCTCGCTCTTGAGGCGTGAGCTTGAGGACGCCGCCGCCACTGTCGATGCCGACGTCGATATCGCCGACCACGCGCTTCCTGATGGCAGCAAGAAGTTCGATATTACTATTGATGGCGTCTATGAGGGCTCTGTGATTGAATCCCAGAACGGCACAGGTGCGCTTGCTCTTCGGCATGGCTTTTTCTTGGCTCTGCCGTGTTACTGACGGCCTGAACAGTTCAGATATTTGATGTTGACGGAAACGAGATTGACGCCGATGACCTCGATGAAGTCGATGAGACCATTTCGGAGGATGGCACTGTTGTGAAGCGTAATCTCTTCAAGTTCCTTCGCGCCTTGGCTGGACCCATCAGGAAGTATGGCTCTAAGTTCCTGAAATATGGCAAGTGTGTGGGATACAGAACCATGATTGAGTGCGCCGAGCACGTAAGTTTTCACGCAATACTTTCTCGCTTCTGCCCAAATGCGATACTTTAATGTCGATACTAATTCACTCGGGATAGGTCGGAGACTGTGCTAGGCAGGGAATCCTGCCTTGGTATTGTCTCCCTCTTCAGTGGTGCGCTGGTGTGCGGGCTAAGAATTGCCGATGGTAAATGATTGTCCTCTCTAGTAGGAAACCTCGTGCTCTTGGGACGGGATATCTCTTAGATATGTCATCGCCTATTGAAGAGAGTTTGGAAGTTGCTGATGGAGGAGGCATTCAGCATTCAGGTGGGAGCATTTGACTTCTTGAAATATCAGACAACTAGAACTGGAGACTTTCAGCTTGAATTGAGGTCCCTCTAATGGGACCTGACCCAAAAAGTTGTGATTAACTCGTTCACAGATGTGCTGAACCCCTGCCTAGGCTAACATGCCACGTCCTACGCAATCCGCCTTAGACAGTTGGCATAGGAAACGCGGATGGGCCAATCCGCTTCTAACCCCCATCAGTACATCCGATACCCATACACTCCAGACTGCTGTCTTTGTTGGTTGAACTGTGCCCAGTTCATCGGCACCGGCAGTACGCCCCTCCCTGGAACTGTTGCGGCATGAACTGCCCACCCATCATGACAGGGTTCGGCTGCAGCGCCGGAGTCTCTCTGCCGTAGAATCGCGGAGGGTTAGCCGGAGCGCCGAACGGATCGTGATCAGTGCGGCGTTTGTTCCAAGGACTAGGGCTCTCTAGGCTCTCGATACGGCTAACCAGTCCGCCCGAGGTGTGCTGTCTCCTGGTCTGCGGTCGCGGCAGCGATAGCTGCGAGGCGTTGTTCACGGCCAAGGAGTGGCCGTGTTAAGGAATGGCGTGAAGGGTCGGAGGTACGCATGCGGCTGTGGCAAAGGGGTGGCAAGCTGCCGGCTCGATGCACTAGTGTGTGGCCTGATCGAGAGATGCAGTGTGTTTTGGGGACTTCGTTTTTTTGGCGCCGGCTCGTCGTTCACCCCTCGGGATTTTACCAGCAATGCGATCGGAACATCGTCGTCGTCTTCCTGTGCCAAACTGGCGGGATGTCCAACCTCTGGCTTTTCAAGACCTGACTGGGCTGATGTGCTCGCAGATATCCAGGTTTCCACCGAGATATCGAGCACAACTGAAAATCCGACTGCGGGCCTTCTTTCTGGCGTTTGGCTGCCTTCGCCGCCTGATACCTTTCGCCTGTTTAGCCTCTGCTCTGCAACGTAGGCTTGCTGGCGCTGTCTGTGCAGGAAAGCTTCTTCTTCCAGGTTCCTTTCGTCCGCCTCGTTGACATCTTCCTCATCATGTGAGTCGTCGCTTTCCGAGTCCAATTCGTCTTGGTGCATCATCTTGGACTGTCGATACGTCTCGAACTCCTGAGATGTCATGATCTTGCCCTGGCTGCTTTTTGGAAATCGCAGGCGTCGACGACCTCGGCTGCCTTGATGCAACATTAGTGAGACATTGCTACTATCTTTCGTGCAGTAGTACCATTTCTTGTTTCTGTCTGCTGTTGATGTTGGTCACTCTCATTCTTCGAGGGAACATCGTCTAAGAACACGCCCGTATGTTAAAGCAGCCCTCAGAGTACCATTTCAAGGCGCCCATACCAAAGGCGACGTAGACGCGGAAGAGGCAAAGGCAGGTAATACCGACCATGACCAGCATCAGGGCTACCATCATGGTTGCGGTGTTAAGGCGCTCGCATGAAGAGCAGGCAAGAAAGGGCAGAGAGGACAGAAACAGTAGAAATGAAACGCCAGAGACGCTCGCTGCAGCGGGGCAGAGGACGAATATATAAACGCTTAACTTTAATACCAGCATCGGTCCCGAGCAGTTGCCATCACCCGATCCCCTAGCCCACAACTCAAGCCCTTCGGACGTCCTCAGTCCAAGCCAACCCTGGGGGGCCGGGCCGAATCGACGATATTGGAGTGTTACGGATAGGAAGGGAGGTACGGTTCGTCCAGTGCCTGACCATCATTCACAGGCAGTTTGTGTCCAGTTGGGCAGTTTGTGTCCAGTTGGCGCGTTTCTGCCATAGAACAGGGGGCTGACGCTCGGGCCATTGCATTCATTCTGAACCCCAAGTGCGCCATACTAGAATTGGCACTTGGACACAAACTTACAGTAGGCAGGGATGCTAACCCCCAGGGACCAGCCGCCCCCCGGCCACTTGGGCTACCCCAATTCCGCCATAAGGTTCAGTTAAGTGAAGGAGGGAGCTGGGGTTCGCACGGCAGACCCCGGACGGGAAAAAGGAAGGGTGAGAGGCACGCGACGACCCGTTGTTGCAGCTGAGGCACAGGGGAAAAAAAGGGGAGAGCTCATCATTAGCCTAGACAGGTAGATAGACATAATATAAGGAATAACTTCTAACAATACTTACGACCATACTTTATTTACGTCATTCGAGCTCTACTGTACAGCGGTAACCGAGGCACTACTAACCAAACCGTCCAGACGCGAAACGCGACAGCGACTACAGAGAGACTAGGCACCGCAGCCGGGCAACGTTAGGAAGCAGAGATGGAAGTCCATCACGACGACGCCGGAGCGCCCCCGTCGGAAATCAAAGTGTATCTCTACGAGGAGTCGCGCGTACTTATATGTACGGTGTGTAAGGCTGGCATCCAGCCCGGGCCCGGCATTGAGTCCCACTTTCGGCGGAGGCACGGCGCAAAAGGTGCTGTTCTGCAGCGGATCCGGGAGAGGGCCACAACAGCCGCCGCAACGGCAGGTGGGCTGGCGGACCCACAGACAGCGGAGACACCGGCAGATGGAACGTCGCCCGTCCCACAGCTCCGGGTGCAGGCCGGGTTCAGCTGCATAGCATGCCGCTTCTTAACAACAAACGAGATGGTGATCCGGCAGCACTGGACAGGGAGGAATTCGGAGGTGGACGACAGCCATGGTTGCTATGAGCGCTCGAAGAAGAACTGGACCGCCGTAGCACTCCAGTCTTTCTCCCAAGCGAGGCAGCTTACACGATACTGGATCGTCGACACTACCACTCCGCCACAACGAGTGACCACGGGAGAGGAGACTACGACTGGGAGAGAGGCTATGCCGGATGCAGAGTGGGAGCTACAGCTTCGCAAGTACGAGGCGAAGGCTATAGCAAAGGCAGAAGAGCGGCAGCGCATGATCGGTGAGGAGACGGGGGTCGACGCTGAGTCCCCGTGGGTCCGTAAGATAGGCTGGGCTGTGCATCTAGCAGGGTTGGACATGGCTGAGCTTCGAAGGGCCGCCCAGCCAGGTCTGACTCCGAGGGAACTGGCCAGGCTAGGATGGGCAGCAAGGAGAAGCGGAGAAGAGGAGGAAGCGATGTTTGTGCGACTGGGCCAGAGCTTCGACCGGACGATTTCTCGATGCGAACAGCGGATCGGGCAGGTTCCCGTCGAGACGCTCTGCTGGCTGGCGAGCCGCGATCCAGGACGTCCAGCTCCACAGCCGTTCGAGCTAAAGCAAGAGGCGCGGACAAGAGAGCGGTATCGCGCGTACTGGAGACAGTATCTCTGCTACTGTGTCCGAGCGTATCGTCTTGGCCGGTCAGAAGCGGGGACGAAGCGCCATATTCGACTCAGCGATGCGCAGTGGCTAGCTCTCGCGAATCTGGTCGACGCGCTTGGCAGTAGCGCGAGTGGCAGAGGGGGAGGGCTTGTAGCTCCCGGAAATGCGGAGCGGGACGAGGACTTGGATGCACGGGTCTTCACATTTTGCATCTCGTCGCTCACACAACGGGTCATTATAGACCAGTTCAAGAACCCGCTTCTGCACTTTACTGCCGTGTTAGCTATCGACCCCGCGCGGGCGAAGTGGAGGGCGCCCGGCGAGTTCACAGGAACACTAGCCGGACTGGCGTGGTGTAGTCGCGTACTACTACTAGAGCATCTGTTCGGTCACATCCCAATCCGGCAGGAAGCTGCGGCAGAAGGTCATAACGGCGAGGGGAGTGGGCTAGGCGAGGCTGAGGCGGAGCAGGAAGAGCAGGAGAGCATATGCGCCGAGGATCTCGACACGTTCCGAGACGGGTACCAGCGCTGGATTGCGGACGGCTCGTACAGCCCGTTTAGCACGATTACGAGATGGATGACGCTCGGAAAGGGGTTTCGCCACAAGGAGGGAGGCACGGCGAGGATTATGTGGGAGGACCGCAAGCGAGCACTCAGCTATCTCGGCCAGCGCATCGAGGTCCAGGAATTCCGCGATATGGCGCAGAAGCTAGTCTCCGAGCTCGAGAATGGCTTGGATGAGCTGGTTTACGGCGAGGGAGGGGCACTACTCGGCCAGGTCGAGCCCACAAAGATCTACGACAGTATGATGTTCGAGGGTCACAACAGCTCGTTCGCCACGAATCCCAGGAACGCATGGCTGCAGGCAGGGCCCCGGGTAGTCGCGAGACTTGTTAAGGCGGAGCTGTGGTCGCAGCTGCCGGGTGTAATTCAAAGATGGAGAAGTGGAGGTACAGAACTTCAATATCGTCTGACTCTTGCAGATCTCCGGCCAAGCATGCTGGCTATGGCAGCCCCACAGCAATACTACGGTTGAAAGCAGTAAAAGATCGTGTCTCGCTCCAATGAGCCGTATTCTCGCATTGTGGCTGCACGCACCACCCGAAATACGAACGCACCAATCCCAGCCCTCCCTGCTCACAATGACCTAACGAGCCACGCACCACCCGAAATACGAACGCACCAATCCCAGCCCTCCCTGCTCACAATGACCTAACGAGCCACGCACCTTACCACGTGTACGACAAATAGCCTACGACGCCGTAGGTAGCTAGCACACGCCTATACAGAACATGAGAGTAAAGCTGCGTCACTACTATCACGGCTGCGCCACAAACCATGGCGCAAGATGCGAGGGGTACCCGAACCGAATGATATTCAGCTTGGAACGTGATGAAGCTTTCTCTACCAATCCGAACATCGCGCAGGTCATCATAGAAATGGAGAATGATATAAGACTGCCCTAAACAGCAGACTTCCGGGGGAACAAAAAAATTAGCACAAGCCCACTCATTGGGACATCATTCCGTCGTTCTTCTAGACTACTACACAGCAAGTTTTAACAGTTAATTATGGTGGGCGGAGCTATTCTGCTTGCGCTCTCAACCGCAGCAGTGCTGGGCGCTGTGGCTGCAGGTGGTGGTTCTGGCTGCCGTTGCCGACCACGCGAACCCTGCTGGCCATCCGCGCAGGCCTGGCAAGGACTGAACCGCTCAGTAGATGGCGCCTTAGTGGGATTGAAGCCGTTCAGCTTTCCTTGCCATGACCCGAACTTCGACGCCGCCGCCTGCGATTCGGTTCGGCTGCAGTCTAACGGCTCTATCTGGCGTGCCTCAAACCCCGGCGGCGTGCAATGGGAAAATTGGGACGCCCTCCCGGCCGAGAACCAGACCTGCTACGTCCACTCTGCCCGCGGCATCCCCTGCCGTCAAGGCCGCGTCCCCGTGTACGCGGTGCTGGCGCGACGTGCGGATCACGTACAAGAGGCAGTCCGGTTCGCGGCTAAGAACAATATCAAGCTCGTCATCAAGAACTCGGGTCACGACTACCTGGGCCGCTCCGCAGGCCGGGACTCGCTGCAGATCTCCACCTACCGGCTCAAGAACATCGCCTTCACCGACAACTTTGTCACCAAAGGCCCGCACGGCCGCGAAGTGTCGCACGGCGCTGCTGTCCACGTGGGTGGCGGCGTTGGGCTGAGAGAGCTCTACAATGCGGTGGGGGAGAGAAATCTGGTGGTCGTAGCCGGACTGTCTCACACCGTCGCCGCCGCTGGGGGCTACGTACAGGGAGGGGGCCACTCGCCGCTGGGTGCTTGGAAAGGCATGGGCTCGGACAATGCTTTGGAGTTTGAAGTCGTCACTGCCGAGGTAACGTGAAGCCTCTAACCCGCCCTATTCGTGGTACTATGCTTTCTCTCCGGACCTTCCATGGGCTGACATTATCTCTCGCTCCTCAACACAGGGCAAGCTAGTCATCGCCAACGATCAACAGAACTCTGATCTCTTCTGGGCGCTGCGCGGCGGCGGCGGCGGTACCTTTGGCGTCGTCACCCGCGTGACGCTGCGCACATGGCCCGATGTGCCCATTCAGCGGACCGTTTACGGCATCGAGGTGCCACGACAGTACGAGTCGGTCTTCTGGGCCGCGCTGGCGGACTTCCACCATCACCTGGTTGTGCTCAACGACGCGGGCGGGGCCGGCTACTACGACATCAAGCCCTCGCCGCTTAATGCGACCGCTCCGCTAGCTCTCTCGGGCATCCTGCAGTTCGCGAACCGCACCGATACGGCGGCCATCCAGGCGCTCTGCAAGCCTCTCCAGGCGGCCTGGAACGCCACGCTTGCCGGCGTACCGGGCGCCTGGAGCTACTTCGTGGCGGACAAGCTCCACAACTCGACCCGTGACATGTTCAACGAGTACCTCCCTAAGGACCGCGACACCCTAGGCGGGACCGTCATCCTGACCTCGCGCCTGGTGTCGCGCGAGCTGTTGTCGACGCAGGAAGGGGCCGTACGGCTGTCCGACACGCTCTCGCGGCTCAAGCGTTCCCCCAGCAGGGTCATCACTGGCCACGTCGTTGCGGGCGGGGCCCCCGCCGGGGCGATCCGCCAGCAGGGCAGCGGCGGCGAGGACGCGACCGGCCTGAACCCGGCGTGGAGGCGCACGCTGACCCACTTAACCGCGGGCCGGGGGTGGGACCCGGCCGTGGCCACCTGGGAGGAGCAGCGGGCCATCATGGACAGCGTGACTAACGGCGACGGCGCCCTGCTGCGGGCCCTCGAGCCCGACATGGGCGCCTACCTTAACGAGGCCGACGTCAACGAGCCCAACTTCCAGCAGGCCTTCTGGGGCTCCCACTACCCGCGCCTGCTGCGCGTCAAGCAGCGCTGGGACCCCCGGGGGCTCTTCATCGTCAAGTCCGGTGTGGGCAGCGAGGGCTGGGACGCCGATGGCCTGTGCCGGCTTAAGTAAGTAGTGGGCAAAACCTTCAATTCATTCTTGCTTCTATATATAGAGAGAGCTGCAATACGCTGTACGTGCTCCACATAGCCGTCCTAGAGTAGAGTACATGGCGGTCAAGCCTTATACACTATTGGGTCCTCACAATAGGCCCTCTGATAATCAATTCGTCGCTTGTAGCGTGTCTTCAGTTGTGGCTGCCGCGCGATGAACTTGGTGACCCAGTTGCGCCCTACAAGAGCGCCTATTCTGACGGGGTAATTCCCATATTCTGACGGGTCCTAGCTGTATTAGGTTAATGCGCCAAGCACTGAAAGTACTGGTACCCTGGCTCCCGTGGAATTAGGGTGCGGGCTTCGAAGCTTCGGAGCTTCGGCGCTTCGGCGCTTCAATTTGCTTCTGCACCTTAGCGTCGGCTTTTCGGGGCGACATTTTGTCCGACACAGCCTGAAAAGCGACCTTGATGGGTTATTTTTTCAGTTGGAGGATCCAACGGCTCCAACGGTTGGAAGCCGTTGATTGATTACACACTCTGTAGCCGGAGCAGCTCGACGATTGATTTGGTGTTCCGTGGCAGCCGATATAGCTGAACGGGCGTGCTAGGATTTAACGTAACCCACCCCCATTTCGGCCACGGGGGCATTTGGGCCAGGGAGCACTGTTACCCTTCTGTTGCTATGCTGGAATTGGGGCTTTAGAGGGGCGTGGCCCAATTACCCGTGTGCCCCAAATGGGGGTGGGTTACGTTATTGGCAACGTTGCTAAGGACAACCGCGCTGCCGCCGCCGCCACTGGTCCGTTCAACGCCGGATCGAGGCACATCGGCTGCGGCGGTGTAACTGGCTGCAGGGAGTCATGTGAGTCTGACCGTCGATAGTGTAACTCTTGCATTCGATGGCCCCGGTTCGGTGTTATTGAGATATTCCATAACATGAGGCTGAAATTGTCAACCCTCCGCTCTAGGCGTTGCTCCTCGTGACACTAACGTTGCGAGCTGAGGCAGCGGAGTTTTGGTTGCGCCGCCCCCGAATTGGGCCGTGTATACTTCTGCATTTGTGTAATGGGAAGCACAATACCAGCAAAGCGCATTCATTAAACTGTTTTTGTTCAAGGTATATAAACGTCGGAGATAGAAAGGTATTCGAACAATGCAATTCGAGCATTACGGTTCAAACGTATTATAGCACACCCAATTCGTCTTCCCGGCTTGATACCTCTTAGATGGATGCAGAGCCGTCAATCCCATCTAGTCTTGCGCACGACAGCATGTCTCTCGATACCAATCGCAAGGTCCTGATCAGTCGTGCCGGTGGTCCAGACAGGCTGCAACTGGTCGATGCCCCCATGCCGGCATACGGAGCGGATGAAGTCCTAATCCGAATCGAAGCAGTAGGCGTTGCCTTCGCCGACGTCTTGATCCGCGAGGGTCTCTATCCGGACGTGCCACTACCTGCGACACCAGGGTACGAAGTTGTCGGGCTGGTCGTCTCCAAAGGTGAACAAGTCACCAGTGTCGACATCGGTGCCCGCGTCGCGGCCCTGACGATACACGGAGGCTATGCGAAATATTTAAACGTCTCCGCCGCTTCTGTCGTCGCAGTACCACCGTCTCTCAAATCACCTGCAGCTGCTAGCCTGGTCCTGAACGGCTTGACAGCCTACCAAATGCTTACGCGATGCGTGGCACTCGACTCAACCCAGAGCATCCTTGTCTGGGGCGCCGCTGGCGGTGTCGGTTCCATTCTGCTCGACCTCGCCCGACATTTTGGCATAACGGCATATGGCGTCGCTTCCGGGTCTCGCCTCGACTTCGTGGCGGAGAAGGGCGCTATTCCCATCAACCGGTCTGAAGGCGATGTAGCAAGCATACTCAAACAACATGCGCCTGCAGGCGTGGACGCAGTCTTTGACGGCGTGGGTGGGCCCAACGTCGCTGTATCCCAACGCTGCCTCAACGAAGGCGGAACAGTCGTTTTATTTGGCGTACAGGGAGGTTTCGTTGGCGGACGGCGTAGCTTGGTGCGGCTCATACGAACATACCTTGCGTCGTCATCAACAGCCCTCAGCATATTCCTGAGCAACCGGGGACTGAAAGGATACGTTATTACGCCTTGGTTTCGGCAGTTTCCTGACCGATATAAGGCTGACCTGTCCAACATTTTTACCCTGGCCGCCAAAGGCTCCATCTCGCCTCAGATTGACGTGGTCCTACCCTTGTCTCGGGTGGCCGAAGCACACCAACGGATTAATGCTGGCAGCCAATTAGGCAAGATAATCCTCGATCCCACTTGCTGATTTTTAAGAGTCTCTTTTTCGGGTCACGTAGTCCACGGGTGAGTGGGCCATTTTCCCCAAATTTTTACATAGGTGACTTTTTCTCCTTATTTCTCCACCATTTCAAATGGCTCGTACATCAATTGAAAGTAATATCCAATTAGCGCTTATAGCGCGTCAAAAGAACCCAAAATTATCTGTACGAAAGGCTGCATTAATCTATAATGTATCTAAGAACACCCTTACTCGACGAGAAAACGGCACCCTTCCTCAACGCGATATCCTACCACCCTGTAAAAAACTTACTACGTCCGAAGAAGAAGCTCTCGTACGATATATCCTCGATCTAGAATCGCGATCGTTTCCTCCTTCGTTACGTGGTGTTGAAGATATGGCGAATCGACTGCTTCGCGAACGCGACGCGTCATGCGTCGGAGTCAACTGGGCCGCAACCTTTGTACGACGACGACCAGAACTTCGTACGCGTTTCGATCGTAAAATCTACTACCAAAGAGTCCTCTGCGAAGATCCGAACGCGTATCGCGCGTGGTTTTCCCTCGTACGAAACACTATTATGAAATATGGTATAGTGGAGGAAGATATCTACAACTTTGACGAGACTGGGTTTGCAATGGGCAAAATCTCAACCAGGATGGTCGTAACATTAGCTGAACGTCTCGGACAACCAAGAGGAGTACAGCAAGGCAATCAAGAATGGGTTACAGTAATTCAGGGCGTTGCGTAGTACGGCTATATCGTCCCGCCGTATATCGTTTTTCCAGGAAAAGTCCACCTTGACTCCTGGACTCGCGACAGCCCTCTACCACAAGATTGGGCAATTGGACTATCAGAAAACAGCTGGACGACGAATGAAATAGGTCTAGATTAGATTACGCATTTCGAATTACATACAAAAGCTCGTACGAAGGGTGCTTACCGCCTCCTCATCCTCGACGGCCACGAAAGCCACCATTCAACAGATTTTGAGCTAGATTGTAAAGACCACTGCATTATTACGCTTTGTATGCCTGCTCACTCGTCACATAAGCTCCAGCCTCTTGATGTAGGCTGTTTTAGCCCTTTAAAATGAGCGTATGGTGAAGAAATTGGAAAATTAATGCGGGCGCATATTTCTGTCACGATCCGGTCTCCGGGGTCAACCGTCTGACCGGGCGCTGGGGTTTATGTTCTCGAGAAGGTAGGTAGAACCTGCCGTTGAACCTAACCTTACACCCCCAGCTAACCCTACCCTGTGCCGTGTCTCCTCCCCTGTCATTAAATAGAGCATGATGCATGCCGCGGCCTGGACGGGCTCGCAACCTGTACGGCGAAAAGCCTTTGTAGTTGCTAGTTATTACACGTAGAACAGAAAATACACCTCATTTATACACTATCTAACTCTCTTCGATCTGACAGCCCAGCTGTGATTAAAGGACCATCTAGCGATGGCGATACACTACGAGGCTGACGATGGTCGCACCGGCGGCCAGGTCGGTCTGCTGAGCTGGCCTGCGGCTGACGCCAGTAGCCAGGAGCATCGCGTCCTCCTCTGCGTCTCGTGCAGGATCGGGATCCGGCCGGATGACGGCATACAACTGCACTTCTGGCGGACGCACCGTGTCAAGGGCGAGGCACTACGCCAGATCGTCGACTACAGCTACGCCGCCGAGCCGATCGCGAACCCGCACACTGTACCAGTGCCAGCCGACGGATCACCATGTATAGAGCAGCTGCCGGTCTTAGACGGCTTCAGCTGCTCGGACTGCCGCTTCCTAACGACGAGCCGGAAGCTAATCAGGGTCCACCGCTCGCAAGGCAGGACACGACCAGGCGACCAGCGGCCGTGGCGGTAACAGTGGCTGGAGCGAAGTACGGCTCCAGACCCTGTCTCCGGGGAGCCATGCCCGGTACTGGGCAGTCGAGCCAGGACCTATCAGAACGGCCAGCCCAGGCGCATCTGGTCCTACTTCTACTTCCTCGAAGCGCGTATTATTCGAACGCCTCGCAAGATACGAAGTAAGCCTAGCTACGGAGCTAGAGGAGACACGGCGTACGGTCGATAGCCGGCGGGGGCCTGGCTTTGAGTCGACCTGGGTCCGCGAGATGGGCTGGGCAAGACACTTAGCCGGCAGCGATATGGGCGAGCACCTACAGGCGAGCCTGACTGCTCTATCTGCTACGGCGTGTGCTAGGCTCCGAAGTGAGGCAGAGATTATTGAGCAGCAGCGACTTGTCCGGCTTGGAGCTAGCTTTGACCGGCAGATTGGGAAAGGGATCGAGCGGGTCGCACAGGTACCAAACGAGGTGCTCCGATACCTCGCGAGTGTAGATCCTAACCGCCCAGCAGGCGCCCCGTTCAAGACGGAGAACGGTCAGGACACGAAGGACCGGTACCAGGTCTACTGGAAGCGCTACCTCTGCTACTGCGTCCGGGTCGGGCGGCTCGGCCGGGAAGTGGCGACGGAGAGGTTTCGGATCTGGTTCAACGACGCCCAGTGGGCTGCACTTGAGGAAATCATCCGGAAACTAGATAGTAGCGAGAAGAGCGGCCAGGATAACGACAGCGATGGCGCCTCTCCAGCCTCATCGACCGACATCGGGTCTGAAGAGCCAGCTACTCCAGGGAGCGAAGAAGACGAGAAAGACGACCGAATCGGGGACCCGATAGACCAGGCCGTAATTGCTTTCTGCATCTGGTCGCTCCAGCAGAAGGTTGCCGTCCAATTATTCGATAACCCGCTCCTGCACTTTACATGCGTACTCGAGATCAGCGGTGCCCGGAAGAGCTACGCCTGGCGGCCGGCCACCGAATACACAACCCAGATAGCAGGGCTTGTCTGGTGCGCGCGTCTCCTCCTGCTAGAGCATATATTCGGAGCCGAGGAATGTAGCGAGGATATCGGTCCGGAAGCTATCGAGTACTTTCTGGCGCAGCACCGCGACTGGCTCGCCGACGGCTCGTTCTCGCCCTTTAGCGCAATGATCCGGATGATGGCATACGGGAAGGGCTTCCGCAAGAAGGAGGGCGGCACGCCACGACTTATGTGGGAGGACAGCAAGGAGGCACTACGATATCTTGGCCGGCGCATCCCACTCAACGAGTTTCGGGTTATGGCGGCTAGCATTATTACGGATGCCGAGGAGCTTCTAGATCAGCTTATGTTCGGAGAGTGGGTTCCGCTTAGCCAGATCGTCGTGCTCCGACGGATCACGGACAGCCTCAGCTTCGAGGGGCCCGGGGCGTCGTTTGCTACGCACGAGAACAGCTGGCTCGAGCCAGGCTTCCGGAAGCTAGTCGGTCCAGGTATTGCCCAGCTCTGGGACGACGAAGCGGCAAAATTCCGTACAGCTCAGGTCCAGCAGTGGCTCAACCAGCTCCAGTCATTCCGCCAGGCCCTACTCGTCAGTACGCACACATGGGGAGGCCAGCCCGGCAGAGGTCCAGAGATCATGACGATCCGGCACTGCGACACGCAGGATATGCTCCGGAATGTCTTTGTGTTCGACGGCCAGGTACTGTTAGTTACAGACCGCGACAAGGCCAAGGCTATCCGCGGAATCGGCCGTAAGGTTGCACGGTTCTTACCAGAGACGGTTGGCCGACTAATGGTTGCCTACATCCTATGGATCCTACCGTTCGAGCGGCTACTACTTACGGAGACTAAGGGCCAGGGACTCTCTAAGCCGCTTGATGCGTGGCTCTGGAAAGATAGCCGGAAATGGATCTGGACGACGACCGAGCTGAGCAACAAGCTAGCACAGTCACGACGGAACACATCGGGGTTAAGCTTGGCGTCGCTGACTACCGCCACGTCGCGATCGAACTAGGCCGACACATTAGGGGGCTAGTGGTCCAGCAGCTAGAGGTCGACATGGTTGATGAGGCCGACTGGGACAACCCGCAGAACTTCGAAGACGCGCTTACCGGCGAGGCACGTGGCCAGAACAAGGTCGAGTACGTCTGGGACTTGCAGGTCACGCACGGCAGCGCCATCGCGCGGCAGCATTATGCCGTCAATGTCCAGTTTCCGAACCAGCTGCAGCCACAAATGGTTGCTAACTACCGGGAGATCAGCCGACTATGGCACTAGTTTCTCGTGTTCAGTACCGAGAGCACGCCGGGCTCCGATATGATGAGCAGCGCAGGAAAGAAGATCTTCGGTTACAGCGGAAACGATCAGTCACAGACGCCAGATACAAAGCTGCTGTATACGCCGTCTAAGCGTACATATTCGCAGGCGCAGATGGGGAATGACTTCCAGACGCCAGACTGGGCCGCCAGGCGAGCAATCGCTGCAGGCAGGATCACTCAGGGCCGCCACGGGGACGTCAGCCCGCTAGCTGCCCGTACTGACGCCAAGCTCAACGGAGGGCTATATCAGCTACTAGGTCCAGGCGCATGCTGGCGATCAGATGAACAGCGGGAGGCTACGCAGCAGACGTTAGCACTCCGGGGAGACCGAGTTCTCATTGTCGTACTGCCCACGGGAGCTGGCAAGAGCGTGTTATTCATGCTACCAGCAGTCCCCAGCATGAATGCAGGTGTTAGCGTCGTAATAGTACCATTCGTGGCACTAATTAACGATCTGGTCGGAGGTGCTACGGATCTGGGGTTGGGCTGCCAGCAGTGGCTACCAGCACAGGTAACCGGCCGAGAGGAGCAGCCGCGGATATCACGGCTGGTCTTTGTTAGCGCCGACCAGGTCAACAGCGTAGAGTTCTCTACATATACAGACCAGCTACGAGCACGGGGACTACTAAAACGGTTCTTCGTCGACGAGTGCCACACGATTATCATGGACGCGAGCTACCGGAAGAGGCTCACGGAGCTCAAGTGCATATACCGGTACAGCTGTCCAGTTATTCTGCTAACGGCTACGCTGCCAGTGCGGCTCGAGGCTTGGTTTCGGCAGGCGATGCTCGTAGGGGACGCCGAGATCATCCGAGCAAGGTCCGATAAGAAGAACATTAGCTACAGCGTCGTACAAGTGACGGGACCAGGGCGTAGCGCAGTCGAGGACGAGGTCGTCAAGCAGGTTATCCGCATAACTGGCCGCATGACTGGGAAGCAGAAAGGCGTGATCTACAGCAGGTCTAAGGCTAACTGTACACGGCTCGCCGAGCTGATCCGATGCGGGTACCACCATAGCGACATGAGCTTATCAGAGCGGCAAGCGGTACTCGAGGACTGGGTTGAAGGTCGATCAGAAACCCGCTGGGTAGTAGCAACGACAGGACTAGGGACCGGGGTGGACATCGAGGGTATCGTCGCCATTATCCACGCGGAGCAGCCGTACGGGCTTGTGGATTTTATCCAGCAGACGGGCAGAGGCGGGAGGAAGGCGGGGGAGGAGGTGGAGTCGATCGTGGTGCTAGGTAGGGCGGCTGTCTACTATGACCGGCAGGCGAGCGATGTAGACCAGCTGAACCGGCAGGCAGCAGAGCGGTGCAGACGCCAGACTGCCGGAGGCTCGTGCTTGGGGCGTTCATGGACGGCATCGCGCAGGACTGCGATAGTCTTCAAGCCGTGCGCTGTGACCGGTGCCGGCAACTTATAGAGGTACAGGCCGACGTACTAGATGAGGTTGTCGGTATGGGCGAATGTAGCGAGGGTGGTACTATAGGCGACTGGCACGCCGCAGTAGCCGAGGTAGTAGACGACCGTCTCAGAGGAGATAATAAGGAGAGGCAGAGGAGGATCCGGAAGTTGCTGGAGTGGGTAGAGTTGATGGATAGCAAGTGCGCAGTGTACTACGTCAAGTGGTGTCACTAGGGCCGGGCAGATGGTCGACAGAGGACTTACGAGCACGAGTTCCGGAGTTGCAAGGTACTAGGAGGATCGGAAGCGTATATGGCGTGGCGGCGGCAGATCCGGTTCAAAGAGTACACGTGCTGCTGGACGTGTGGTCTCCCGCAGGCTTGGTGTAAGTGGGGAGAGACGGCGAGGTGCCGGTGGGGAGATCGAGTCATGCCGGTGGTCTGGCTAGCTACAGCGAGCAGGAAGCTTGAGCAGCTGATCTGGCGAGAGCTACAAGTCGAGTGTATGGGGAAAGAGGAGTTCATAGCGTGGCTAGGGCGGGTAAGGACCGTCGAGGATACCGAGGGTACGAATCTGGTCGCAGCTTGGAAGGCGATCGTCGAGGCAGAGTGTCTAGAGTAGTATAGTAGCACAGTCAGGCTTCGGCTGGCGCCGTGCAGAGGCCCCGCTTGGGGTGGAATGTGACATTGACCGCCCCATCCCGCTACGGATGTTGCGCCGGAGCCTTAATCAAAGTCAAACCACCAGGCAGGCAGCGTGCAGTGGCTCACGCCAACAATGTTGCGTCGGCCCATTCCCCGTCTGAGCCTGCCATCCTGCAGAAAAACGAGCTGAAGGATGCCGCTCGCAAGCCTTGAAACGCCTGCCAAGCCACGCTCAATCTGGTCCACGTCATCTCCGTGGCTGCATAGAACCTCGCCCTGACGCGCATGGCACTAGGGGCGCGCGCGTGGACACATGGCACATGCTCAAAGCGATGTTCTGTGCCCTCGTCGAAGTGGACGAAGTGCCTTTACCAGGACATTGATGTGGCGTGTTCAGACAAAATTCCGAGGCCGCCAACCTAATATCCAACCAGTATGGGCTGCCAGTAGCCCGTCGGACTTCGACACTCGCAACTACTGATTGCGTGCCATCTGGATTGGCTGATTGGTCTCTGGTGTCGGAGTTGGGCCTGTGACTGCCGAGCCGGAGGCTTGACCTGCGTGGGTGTGGTGCCTTCAGCTGGGCCAGGTCCCCAATCGTGCTGCCATGTTCCCACTGATTTACATGTTCTAGACCGCTCCATAAGCGGGACCCTGTTGCTTGCAGCCCATCAACATGAATCGGTCGGCTGATTGGGCGGGAAGTGTGGCCCCTGGTTTGGGTGCCGTTGTCGTTGTCCCCCTTCAAGGTTCAACGCCACCATGGAGTCCTGGGGCCAGAGGACACGCCGTCATGACACTTTACAACTTACCATGGCGGCGGGAGGTTCTTCCGGGTTATTCTTGGGCGGGTCCATGGCATCTTCCGCTGCCTTCCGGCGGATCTTCCCACTTATAGAGATATCATGGTGCGCAGAAATCCAGCTTCGCCAGGTCCGGTTTCTTTGCCTAGCCTGCCTGGTCCGCCGCGCAAGAACGGAATCCCTCTGTGGCAGCTTTTGAACTTTTCCATGACCCACGCCATCTTGTTGCTTGCTGGTGTGCTTTGTGGTCATCTGTTCTGACAACACCAGTCGTGCTGCAACCTGGTGGGAGCACGTGTCGTCGATGTCTGTATTCTTATCTCCTCGGCTGCATCGCCCACGGGTATCCTGTCCCTCTGCATAATACCGAAGAGTAATTCAATCACCCCCAGAAGTCAGCCGCTCCACGCCCATTCGATTTGTCCACGCGCAAGCGAAAGCGGATGACGCCAACAAAGCACCATAATACGTTCTGTCGGTGCAGGTGGCTTGCAGGCTGTGGCCGCGATCGAGACAGGAGATGGTGACGCGGACCTCGGACAATAGCGCAGTTCCAGTGCCTCGAGATAACACACGCAAGCAAGTTGTCTCGATTCTCGTCATTCAAGGGCATCCTCGCGACACCCAGGAGACTCGTACTACACAGTTATGTGTCACCCGGCAGCTCTTCCATTCGACAGACCTCGTCAGCCACACCTTCGAGCTGGCTGGTACGTGGCCGAATTGGACCATCAGGGAGTCAACGAACACGACACATCCGAGCGAGGGTCCAAGTGTGGTCGGATCTGTCGACATCGCCACAATATCATCAAACGCTCAGCAAGAGGATGCGCTGCTGTCAATCCTGCGAGCTATGAACGTGAATCCTGAATGGGATCAGCGCAACTGGTTCGACGATGTGTTAAGAAGATTGCGAGAGACGGTGCCAACGGAGTTCGCCGACGACATGATGGCCCCATTCCTCGACTACACTGTCAGACTACTCGTCGACGCGCCATTGGACTGAGTAGGCCGGCAACAAAAACAACTTTAGATGCTATGCTACGAAGAAATATCTGGGAGGAGACCTAGCATGAACCGCATTTAGCCATAACACTCGAGCTGCGACTTTCACACCGCTGCTGGCAACCAGCCCTTGCACGCAATGGCGACCGCAAAGCCCCTTCACCGGCTTTCCCAGCACATCAGCCGCCAGGTCTTGCGGACGGTCATCTGCGTGCGTCCGTGAGTCCAATAGAAGCTACTTCGTCGGGTTTCTGAGAGATGGGCATGACAGAGGCAAAAGTGTGAAACATGGCATATGCTAGAGCACTGAGGCGCCATGCAGTCGCCGAACGCCCTGGACGACCAGTGACCTTCCAACAAAGGTCACCGAGGGACTGAAATTCCGATCGATAGGCAAAGGAGAGCACCGTCACCGACGAGAGCGCGGCTACGTGCTCGCTGCCATCAAACTGGCATTAAGGAGAAAGACAATAGTGGTGGATTTAATGCAGTTGCGGGAAGCTGTCTCATGGTGTGATGGCACTTGGACGCAGCGATGAGTTCTGCGGCGAGAAGACGTTTTTGCCTGAGGACCAGTGCTTGAACATTAGTGCCCAGCCAGTCCGGTGCAGCGCACTTTATAGCCATGTCGGGAATTTGCTCTCGATTGGTGGGAAGTAATGGGAGGTCATCATGATGTCCGGATCGCAACAAGAAACGCTCGGCCATTCTGGAGGTTCAAGCGCTGAGGTGTGGAAGTCGTATAGGTCCAGGAGGCCCCTCATAGATAATATTATTAGATGATGATACCGCCCACCAATGTATCTGTACCCTTTCACGATCCCACAGTTTCACAACTGCTCTTCGGCATTCTAGAGCTAGCTTGAGCGTGGTGCTATGCTCGAAGTCCCTTCACTCTGCCGGATTACTGCTGCGGCCTTGGCTCTGGCATCAGCCTTTGCAAGTTGATGACCTCCATATTCCACTATAGATGTCTTGCACACCTGAAGGAGGGCGCGCTTTTCAGCGTCGAACGCCTAGCCACGACTGTGACGCACACTGCCGATCTCCAGGGTGTCCATGCTATCCTCGTGCTGCTCAAACACTGGCGCATCGTTGGTAGAGGGTGACCCGCTCGCGTCGCCTTGGTTTCAGTGTCTTTGGACGAAGCACGAACATGGGGCTGGAACAATACAATATCTAGCAATGTCGCACAGTGCAGGTGGTTTAGATCTTCACGGGGATCCATTGCGGCTGACTGAGACTCACGCAGAGATCGCCAAGGAGACGGAGTGTGCCCGTCAATATCTGTTCGTCCCCATTTCAAACTAGATACGGCGTTGCTGGCACAAGACGCGGCGAAGCGGTTGGCGCCGTTATTGAGGCTGGCATGGCCAGGCAAGCTCAGGCATGTACGAAATGAATACCGAGACTTGGCCCAGTACACTCCAAGCTGGATACTCATTACAACGTGCATCCCTCGCATGCCGATGACAGCTGGGTTGTGAATGGGAGCACACAACTGGCCGTGGTGCGCTGCCGTTGCGCAGTGCTCCGCCAGGCTTGATTTGCTGCGCAATGGTCTGGTGTCTGCATGTGATATGTTTTTTATTCAAGCTCTTTCCAGGAGCCTCAGCGCACCAGGCTGTCGGGCACCGCTGCATGGTGCACGTAGCAATTGAATGCGGGCAGTCGCGCGGGAAACCTTGCCCCTGTGTGCTTCGGCTGCGCGGCGCTTCGGCATCCAAAAACGTGAAACGGAGTACGGCACAACTACATTGTCACTATTCGTTAGACTCGAATTGGCATGGACGCTACTTTGGCGTGGGAAAATGAGACCGGCAGTCGCGATCGTGACACCAGAGTAGAAATACACTTCTAGAAGGTAAGGATGCTAGAGCTTTGGCGCCCCGGTCGACCCCCAGTCCCACCACCAATAGCTGCTGCAGCTACATGGACGGGCACGTCAGCGCCATGACAGTCCACCATCGTGGGCTTTGAGCTGTGGGAGCAAAAAGCAGAATTGGTTCCAAGCTTATGATTCTGTTGCTATCAGGCTGTTTACAGGGTCGGAATTCTGTAGAAATCTCACGATTGCGCCGTTGGCAGTAGGCGACGCCACTATCCATGGAAAAGTTCACCATTAGGTGCAAAGTGACCCACAGAGATTCAGAAGGGGACGAGCAAACGGCTAAGATATGCTGTCCCGTGCCACGTACTCGCGTCGTTTGTGCAGCACTTTTTCGAGTTCCGGTGATTATCATCGGAGCTAGTAGCAACTTGGGCCTTAGCATCGAATACAGACCCAAACTCGTTCGTATATCTGGGCAACTTGGACAAACGAATCCCATTTGGAGGACTTGAGGTACAGAGCCATTCTGTACAAATCGCTACTTCTCCTCCACTCCTGGTAGATACAAGTCGACGCACAACTCAAACGATCCAGCCTTCTTACTCTTCTACTCTGAAGGACTGCGCGTCACCACCAGCAATCGGATCACCATCGCCCATGGTGCCATACCTCCATCCTGTTCGAAAGGATGCGTCTTATAAAGAGAAGAAATTGGTCCTGCATCCGTAGTCACGGGTATTAACGCAAGCTCGTGAGCCACACGTAGTATCGTAGACGGTTGTGTAATTTTGAAGTCAAGGCAAGAGAAGCTTCCATGAACTTTCATACGCAACAGTGTATTTGTATCTGTATGCTAACTAATAACTTTCCATATTAATAGCGCTCCATAATGAGCTGCGTCTTCAGTGAGTCCTCCTCGAGAAACCAAGCCTTGTCCTGCAGGTAGGAGATGAAGCTCTCGTGCTTAGTCAAGGCTGTCGTACGGCTCTCAGTCTTGAAAGACGCCTCGACGAGGCAGTCCTTTCCTGTGCCCGCGCGGTTGCGGATGAGCCAGACCTCGATGTAGAGCCGCATCCCCTCCCATGTGCCAATCGAGCGCTCGGCGAGGACCGGCCCAAAAATACGCGATTCTGCCAACGCGTCGGTGCCCCAGTTGATGCCCGGCCAGTTGTCGAACTTATCGGGCGCTTTGTCGACTAACATCGCACGCGATTTGCACGTCCCCGGCAGGTCCATCCCGCTGTTCACAGAATCCGCCACCTTCTTCTTGCGGGTGATAGAGAGTGTCTGCTTCTGGTAGCCCCATTCGACTTGGGCCTCGTATTTCGCGTCACCGGCGTCGAAACCATCAATATTAGCCGTGGTGAGCGCGGCGTCGATGTCACCGTCCATGATGACATACCGCTTCTTGTACGTCAGCTCCAAGTCATCCTCGTTCTCAGTCTTACGGATGCGGGCGCTCCAGCCAGCGGTATAGATGTCCTTGCCGGCCGTGTCAAGAAACTGGACATGCAGCTTAGTGACGCTTGGGGGCATGTCGAAGGTCGACAGGACGGTGCTCGTAAGCTCCGCGTTGGGACCGATGACTGCGGTGGGTTTGAGGAGGATCTTGATCTCGTAGTCGGGCATCATATTTGGCGCTCCCTGCGTTGCGGAGTCGACAATGGCGGTCATGGCGAACAGGCGGCAAGGGGAGGAGTGTATGATACCTGTGAGTTCACGGGCAAGGAATGAATGAAGCAATAAGGTCGACTGAGCAGCGGTAGTTTGCAAGAGGGGACCAAGTAGGTGAGGTAGTCGCTGTTCTTAAACAAAACGATGCCCGGCCCTTGTTATTGGACGGCTCGTTCCGCCAGCCCCATTTTCGAAGTATGAGGTAGAGAAAACGCACATCCGGCATCCGTTCAAGTGACAGAACCGGCTAATAAGAACACGCAATAGATCACCGTCAGCTGCAGAACATGAACAGACAGAATGACATTAGAATGACCCCATGCAAGAAATCGGTTGCAAGATCCACATCAATTTCATATGCCTCAGCGGTGGATTGGGTTGAGTTGATCGCCAGCTTGGTTGTACGCATATGCCGAGTACAGGAGTACAGAAAATCCAACGTAGCAGCTGTCTTCGCTATTCGTATTCGGCCAGCAGGTCATTTATAAAGTTACGGTGAGGCGTACGGCTGGGGTCATATTGAAGCTTCAATAACGATAGAAATATCATCCAGTTGTCGAGAAGTAGCTTGATATGTACCAGTAGCAAAGATCACTCCGTAGAGGTGCTAGTAACGCCTCTAGCTACCTGCTACGATACTCGGGGCATTGATCGCATGCTAAGTTATCCTAGCTACGCGCCTCCTTTAACATGAGGGCCCCGGAGGTTCAGTAAGCACAGGTCGTGGTTAAATACACTCGCTCTACCTTTGGGATGATTTGGATGAGTTCCTAATTAGATAAAATTAGTTGGTGACGGTATACTATGATTGTTGGCGCCATCCTAACATTGTGTTGCCATGGTAGGCATGAATGCAGAGGGGTTTTCACATGCCTTTCTCCGAAGTTTCGCCAACTAGCTTTACTTTGATCAGCACCTTCTGAACTGCCCCACCCACACTTACAGTTGAAACCTTCTCATACGCGGAATGGGAGACGCAGATTCGTGGAGTTGCAGGCAGGGGAAACTGGGACAAAATGTGTATAAATACATGTCTAAGGACGTGTCTGGATCGCTACAGAAAGCAAAGCCTCACAGTTCTCACGACTAAATCTACAACCAAAATGGCGGCCAGCTTTGATACCTCTATGGAACCCGAATTTCGCGCTGGTATGAGTTCTGTCTCCCAAGTTAGATGCTGTCTCTAACACAATAAATTAGGAGTGGTTCTTGAACGCAGGCAAAGCAACGACGTCTACACCCTTGTACAGAAGCAACACACAGACGGGCTTCGGAAGGAGCTTTCAGGAAACTCGCCCACAATTGATTTCAGCTTTGGGCCGCTCCATGTATGTTGCTTATTCCCCGGTGTCTATGCTATTGCTTCTCGGTCGTGGAGACAGATTTTAATCCGTGAGACAGGTGAAAGGCTACGTGAACCCCCAGACCTTAGGTCTCACCGTCACGGTCGATATTCTAGGCATCAATCTTGGGACTCTACGTGGGAATTTAAAGAACAGTGGGCCGACGATTAAGGTCAGCCTATTTGTGGTAAAGGGCGAAGTAAAACTTTACTTGAAGAACACGAATGAAGTTTGGATCCGTCTACATCTAGAGGTGACATTCGATGGGACATTCGACGAGGATGTTAAGCTTCTTAAACTTTGAAGCGATGGAATGTTCACAGAGGCGAATGAGGTGTCGTTCTTTCATTTATGATTCACGCCTTTCTAGTTAGTCCTTCATGAAAATGAAAGACGCCGTCCTTGGATAGCTCTAATGCCACAGGGAAGGAGACCTCTGGCTGGTACGGCGCAGACAAGGATCGAGCCGGCTCGTACGCCACGGGCTTTGCGATGAGGTTGGCCATTGTTGTAGTTCTGTTCACAAAAAGCAGGAGTACTCTGTCATATGATGGAGACGAACGTGGTCGACAATGAAAATATGTGGTTGTACACTACCGAAGAGTAAATATGCTTTACCGGGCCTCCGGCCTCGGGTCTCAGGTTGCGTGATGTCTCACCCGTCGGATCAAACAGTTCCAAGGTCATGCACCCGGACCCACACCACCACATGTCGCCACATGTCGCCATTTGGGGCTGTTAAGACGCGCTGCGATAATGTGTTGGTGGAAACCTCGTCTTCGTGCCATATACCTGCTGTTATCTCCACGGGTCGGAATGGCGTCCGGAACATTGGAGAGCCTCGAAGAAGTCGTAGCGGCTGAGTACGTATCCAGGGGTTTCGAAGCACGCAAGAACTCAGCCGCAACTGATCGATCAGTAAAGTGGCTAGACGTACAGCCATAAAGGAAACGATTCAGCACCATGGCAAGTAGTATTTGACATTGCCAGTTCACTGGATCTCAACTCTAAATTTCCCCGGTCTTCATATATCAGAGTGAGATCAGCCCAAGTCAGGCATTGTTTTGAGTCAGGCTACGATATGGTATGCTGCTGGCTGGACATACTTATACGCCAAGTCCAAAGCGGAGCACCTGTGGGCTCACCCCTTTCGAACCATATCGCCATCGTACCCCTGCAGCACGAATGACGCTATTCACCACCACTAACACTTCCCGTCGGCGTGTGTCCGGCAGCCACAGGCTGGAACCACTGCCGTTTGCGGGCCTACGAGTCGGACCAGGATGTCTGACTTTTTTCCAGGCTCGAGGTACTCCACATTGACTGTCGAGGCGTTGCACATTTATTCACGATGGATGCCACCCCTTTCGCGACTGATCTCGTCCCATCTCCATTGTCAACAGCGGTCCCTTGACTAAGGATCAGGCTCTAGTGATCCTTCCAAGCATGGCTTCAGCAGTCGAAGTTGCGCCCAATGCCGCGTCTGAGGATGGCGGCCAAGTTGCGCCTCCAAAGCCCCGGTCGCGCTGGGCACGGGTGTATCGCAGCCCCTTGTTTAACGTCATTGTCGTTGGGCTCATTTCTTTCACCTAGCCTGGCATCTGGAGCGCCCTGAACAGTGAGTTTGGCATCGGCCGTCTCTGCCATATCTCAAGACCAAAAGGAGATGCTGACCGGTGGTAGACACTGGCGCTGGAGGACAGCAGGAACCGTACCTCGTCAATGGCGCCAACTCGCTGACTTTTGGGTAAGAGAACACGAAGAGGTCTTGTGCCACATGTGCGATTGCTGATTTGACAATAGTATCATGGCCTTTGGATGCTCCATCTTCTCCGTGATCGCGAATAAGGTCGGACTGGTCCCAGTCCTGATCATCGGTACCCTAGGATATGCTCCGTAAGCATGACCCGATCAGATACGTCTATCTCCATCCGTGGATGCTGACAGCTCAATCACCCGTAAAGATACTCAGCTTCGCTCTACGTCAACAACCGGTACGGTGTCGAGTGGTTCGTTCTCTTTGGCGGCGTGACCTGTGGAATTGCTGCGTCGGCACTCTGGGCATCTGAAGGAGCGATCGCGCTCGGGTACGGCGGCATCAAGGACAGGGGCAAGTACACAGGCATCTGGCTGGGCCTGCGCGAGCTCGGGCAGCTCATTGGGTCCTCGATCCAGCTGTCGCTCAACACCACCAACGAGCAGCGCGGCAAGGTCGGCTACGACACGTACCTGATCCTCATCGCCCTGCAGTGCCTGGGCCTGCCGCTAGCCCTGCTCGTGTCGCCGCCGCACAAGGTCATCCGCTCTGACGGCGTCCCCGTGCCCGACCCCACGAAGAAGAAGGCCATCCAGGGCGAGACCAAGAAGATGTGGAAGCTGCTCTGCTCCAAGCAGTTCTTCCTGCTCATCCCCGTCCTCGTGGGCTTCAACTGGAACGGCACGTACCTCGGCATCTACATGACCAAGTACTTCTCCGTGCGCGCCAGGACCCTGGGCGCCCTGACTTCTGGCATCGCCGCCACGCTGGCCAACATCTTCTGGGGCTGGTTCCTCGACCAGAAGCGCTGGAGCTGTCCCACGCTCGCCAAGGGCACCTGGGCCTTCTTCTCCGTCTTTATGCTGGCCCTGCTCAGCTGGCAGGTCTCCAACGAGAAGCTGTACTCGGAGGTGGTGCCCAAGATCACCATCGACTGGAGCAGCCCCGAGTTTGGCCGGGCCTTCGCCGTCCAGATGCTGCTACGCTTCATGAACGAGTCGCACTACATGTTTGTCTACTGGCTCGTCGGCGCCTTCTTCGACGACCTCGAGACCCTGACCCTCGCCATCGGCCAGCTGCGCTCGTTCGAGTCGATCGGCTCGTGCATCTCATTTGGCATCGGAGCCGCCAAGGTCCCGCCCATGGCCAACCTCATCGTCGCCTTTGTCATGTTCTCCATCACCATTCCGGCCACCACCGGCGCCGTCTTCCTTGTGCCCGAGCACCCGGTCGACGCCGCCGCCGTCGAGGCCAGCGCCACCGCGGACAAGCACGGAAACGCCGACGCCGACGTCGAGTCGACCGACGACAACACCACGACTCTCGCTCAGCCGACCCAGATCGCCAAGACCCTGAGCGTGGCGGACGGTACGAAGCAAGTATAGACATCGACGCGATAGAATCATGCTCAGCTCTCGCACGCACGTCGTGCGGATCCAAACATTGTTCCCTGATTCCGTGGGGCGTGGAATGCGAGCACTGCATTCAGCTCCTCATGCCTGGGACAACGACTCGCTGCCTCATAACAAAGAGATTAGATATAGAGAGAGGTACTGTCATAGATGTCAATGTCTTTGCATGTCAGCCATCGCCTCGTGGATGATGCATTTCTCAGTCTACCAGGTAGTAATTCAGGATGTGAAAAAAAGTCGTTGAAGAGATGACGATTCGTTACAACGGTCACTCGTTCCGTGTCCCACTTCCTGTGCCTGTGCCCATTTCCGAACTTGCAACACACGGCCGTCTGCGCTCTGCCGCTAACTAGTCCTCACCGAAGAAGGCGAGGCCGTGATAGAAGCCTCATCAAACAAAACTTGACTGCTCCCTGGTCAGCTATTGAGGAACTCCAGGCCAGTCATCGTTTGCGTGCTTGTTAGCTACGCACTCAGGCTACCAAGCATGAATCAGCCCAGCGACAGCATTGCCCGCAGCGCGTCCTCGTCGCGTGGGACAAGCCGGACCATCCTGGCCCTCGCCTCCACGCTCGGGTTCTCCCTCACCAGCAGTCCTTCCAAAGGATCTGCGGCTTGTGAAGTAGCAGCGAACAGATCTTCGGCACTCTCGCACGGCTGGAAGCGAAAGTGCGCGATCAGATGGAGGAGGACGGTGTACAGGGCCTTGGACGCCACGTGGCTGGCCACGCACATCCGGCCGCCGATGCCAAAGGCGTACTGATGGCGGTTGGTCGCGGGTTGGTCGCCGTCGAGCCACCTCTCCGGGGCAAACTCGTGGGGGGCTGCGAAGACTGTGAGAGGTGAGAGTGGTTAGTCGAAAGCTGTTGACTTTTGGAAGATGAGACTTGCCGCCGGAGGGAATTTGAATTACCTCTAGAGCAAGCCCAGGAGTTCAGGAACAACAAAGTCTTTGGAGGGATAGTAGCTCCATGCCACTCGACGTCCAAGTGTGTGGCCTTGGGCAGTGCTAGACGCAACACGACGAAGTACCGTCCAACCTCCTTGGTCAGCGCCTCAATGTATGGGATCTTGGTGTGCGCTACTTCTGAGGCTTGCAACAGGGCCGGGTCGGCCTGCTGGATCGCCTCGAACGCCTTGGCCTGAATGTCCGGACGGTGTGCGAGGAGTAAGCAGGCCCAGATCAGCGACCGCTTGGTGGTGTGTGCACCTGCCATCATGCTCATGCTCACGCTCAGAAGCTCCCCTTCTGTCAGACCTTTGCTGTCCGGGTCCTTGAGGACGTTGCCCTGGATGCATGGGATGTCGACGTGGTTGGCAATGTCGCGGCGCAGCTTGTCCTGCAGGACCTGATGATACGCGTAACGCCGTTTGCCGATGCTAGCCAGGTGGGCTTTGGTGCGGCGAAGGCCCAAGAAGTCGGCCACGCTGTTGACTGTCCTCAGGAGCGGAATGTAGTTGTAAAAGTTGCTGGTGGGGTCCCGGAGACGGGAGATCTCGTCCTCGAGGTATATGATTTCCGAGAGAAGCAGATCATGGTGTAGATCCTTGACGTCCTCAACTCTTGTTCCATAGGCCAGAGTCAAACTCAGGTTCAATGAGAACTTCCTACATGACGGCGTCACGTCGACATCTGTGGCCTGTCCTCCCTTGCACTCTCTGAGAAAGTCAGACAGCAGTGCTCGAGATTCGAGATTCAATATCTGTAGGTGTGGTGGCTGTCAGTTTCGTGACGATTGATACTGAAAGCTACATATATGATGGGAAAGGTAGTCCAGCGGGCAGATGGCACACTTACAGGAAAGTAAGTCTCCACGCTCGTCTTGTTCAGAGCTGTAGCAGCAACCTTTCTCCGACGCTTGCAGCTCTCATCCCACGGACTCGTACCGATGCTGGTGACTGGGCCATTCTGCTGGACTTGCTTGTGCAATACGTATGTCACGGGACGGGAGTTTGTAGCCTCCCTCTGGGTGACGAAGAAGGCCCTTGCTGCCGCTGTGGTGTTGACAACAACCGCCGTCACATTGCCCAGCTGCACCTGGAAGACATCGCCGTAGCGCTCAGTAGCCCGTTTCAGGTACTCGTCTGAGGTGATCGTGTCTCGTAGTGACGGCAGGCTGCCGACGATCGGGTAGCCCCAGGGGCCGGGCAGATTTGGAATGCGTCCTTTGAAGCGGGAGATCTCGCTGAGGACTATGTAGCCGACGAGAAGGATCGTCGGTGTCACAAATAAGAACTTGACTACGAGAATGATGGCGGAATCGTTGGAAAATGATTCGTTGCCGTTGTCGAAGCCAGAAATGATGCCCATGTTGACTTGATTGGAACTTGTGATTGCGACAAGTGAGCCGGCAAGGGACTGACAAACGATGCGCTCTGGCCGTCCCGCAACACTAGGACATACTGTATTTCTAAGCCCTCCCCCGCGCATGGCTTCAAGATTTAAGATGTCACGCCATGGAGGTCATACTCCGCATGGCCGCCGAGCAGCGGAGCATCCTTTCACGTATCCCGGTAAGCCACTTCCGACGGCTTTCGGCTCGCCGCGAACTGGGGTCATGCACGCCAAGTTCGGGGGACCATGACACATTCAGCGAGTGCGGCGAGCACATGTTCCTGGTATCTATGGCGTGATCTGGACGATCAACAGCCACGTGGACGAATGTGCTCCGATTGGTCATCATCCCGAGCGGAGAAGACTGGGGCAACGAATACTACGCACAACCACTGCCCCGGCCCGGTACTATACTATTGTAGGGATTTTACCCTTGTCGTTGCCTGGTGTTCTTCTCGATTACGTCATGTCATTTCTGCTAGGCTCCGGCTTTCGGGTCACTCGAATGCGTACATCAACATTTTGCGTATCAAGAGTAGACTGTGGCATGTTGTTCAAGGGAGTGTATTGCCCATACTTGAACTTCTGGGTTCATGCAAGCTAGTACGTGATACCACCGATGTTCAGGTACATCAAGCGCGCTAGATATGCTGTTTACAAATGCTTGTCCTCCTTGACAGCCCCTTGATGCTGTCCAGACTTGCCTACACTGAACTGATTCGGCTCGCCCCAGTCCTCTCTGGCTGCTCTCCCTCGTGTCTCTCTCAGCATGTAAGGCGAGGTCTTGTACGCGTGATGCCACGTGCGTCCCTCCCACTCCTCCTCTACAGGCTTCTCGCCAGACGCCCTGATCTCCTGACCGCGTCGCTCGATGTCGCCCCAAACCCTGATCAAGTTGTCGCCCACCAGCAGGCGGATCTGTGCATCAGTAGCGCCACGTGCCATGAGCAACTGTACAAGGTCCGGGTACTTGGACACGTCCTCGAGACCCGCCGGGACGACTGGCGTGCCGCTAAAGTCTGACTCGATGCCGACGTGCTCCCACCCAGCCACTGAGGCGAGGTGCCAGATGTGGTCGACGACGTCGTGGATAGTCACGGCGCCGGGGTCCCTCATGTTGAGGAACCGGTTCACGAACACGGCCATGACGATGCCGCCGTTGTTGCGCACCGCGCGCAGCACGTCGTCGGGGACATTGCGCACGTGCGGCGTCACGGCGTGGGCGCCCGAGTGCGAGAAGATGACGGGCGCGCGCGTGAGCGAGGGCACGTCGCGCATCGTCTGGTGGGACACGTGGGACAGGTCGATCATCATGCCGAGCCGGTTCATCTCGCGGACGTAGGCGGTGCCAAAGGGTTTCGAGAGCCCGTTGTCGGGCCTGCCAGCCGCCACCGACGAGCCGGCTGTCGCCCACGCATTGTCGCAGTTGTGCGTCGTCGTGATGTAGCGGGCTCCGAGGGCGTACGCCTGCCGGATCGCGGCGATGGAGCCACCGAGCTGGTGGCCGCCCTCGATGCCGAGCATGCTCGCGATGCGGCCCGACTTGAATGCCGGCTTGATGCAGGCCGAGTTGTCGCAGTATGCAAAGGTCGCTGGGTGTTCGGCGATGAAGCGCTTGGTCACGTCGATCTGCTCCAGAGTGTCACGTACAACCCACTGCCAGAGGACGTGTCAGAACATCAGATTGCATGGTTTCGCATGATTTTTTCTGTGCGATATAGAGGCGCCACAAAGACTCACGGAAGGATCCTCAAAATGTTTCTGGGCAGCGTCACAGTGGACGTACACACTCCAGAACTGGCCGCCCATCTGGCCCTGCCTCATCCTGCCAATGTTGGTATGCCCAAGCAGGCGCTGGTTGGGGTCGAAGGTGCCGTCGTAGATTCGATTGTGCAGCTCTACACGGAGGAGCCACGGCAGATCATTGTGGCCGTCGATCAGAGGCGTCGTCTCGAGCACTCGTTTGGTTCGCAGTGCATAGTTTGTTGGGTCGATTGGTGTTTCGGTGGACAGCAGCCACCCCGCGAGCGGGCTCAGGAGAGCTGCGATGCCAGCGAAAAGCAGCGGGACTCGCCATGCGGAACGCTTTGCTGCTGTCGACTGCGGATGGACAATCACGGCATTGTCTCGTGGCGGCGAATCGGTTCGTACGTCTCCCGCGCGAGCATTCACAGGCTCATCGACTCGGGAGCCGTTCTGCGAGGCAAGTGCACTGTCCGTCATTGTGTCAATAGAGTGAGCTGACAGATTCGGCGATGACATCCAAATGGTCGCTTGGACCGTTAGCTCGTCAGATTGCCTGCTCAGATTGCCTGTAAAAATCCCAGACTTTCGAATTTCATCATGGTCGAGGTTGGGATATCGGTCGCTGATCGGATGCAGTTCCAACTTCCGTCGGATGCGTTCCCGGCTCATTCCCGGGCATATGCGGGACAGCTGCTGCTGGGGCAGCTGTCGAATGTGTTCCCTGCTATCACGACATTTCAGGGTCCGCCTCGACGCAGCAAGCCGGATTCGGGCTCCCGATAAGCCCATGGGCATTCATGGCCACTGTTGATGGGTGTTCGAGCAGCGGCTCTACAGAAGAGCGCTACGTGCCTCACAAACGAGGGGAAACTGCTCCGGGTTCGCTGGGGGCACAGCGCTGCTCGTGCGATGACACCATTCCTGATCCTGGAGTCTTGGCGGGCCGTGTGGTGTTCGCCGCGGTCAGATAACCCCACTTGCGTCTGTCAGGGTGGAACAAGTACTGCTCTGACGGTGGTTTCCGTCTGTCCTGTGGAAGAGCATTGGACCTGTGCTTGGCATATGATGCCCAGGCACACGCGAGGCACAGGCCGGACTTTCGTGCAAGCATTCCTGGCACCTGGCCTGGTATAAAGACTTGAGTCTCGCCTGAGCCAATGGTGGACGACGGAGAAGCTTAGGCCGACGACGATCCTGCATACCTGTGGTTTGTTTGTCCATCATGTCTGAGAAGAACCAACCAGACAACACGTCAGGCACCGAGGTCTCGACAGATCGAGTGCCTCCGGATGCTGCTCGCCACGTAGAAGGCGATGCTGCGGCAGAGCAGCGACTGGTCAGGAAGAACGATCTCCTCATGATGCCAGGTCTTGGTAGGTCCTCCAGCTTGCTTGAAGCGCGCTTGGGGTCATGGCTAACATGGAAAGCTCACAGCCCTTGCCTACTTCACTCACACTCTCGACCGCGCGAACCTGGGCAATGCCAAGACCGATGGCATCGAAAAGGACTTGGGCATGGTCGGCAACCAGTTCTCCCTGCTGCTCGTCCTCTTCTATGTGCCCTATGCGCTCTTCAACATCCCATGGTACATCCTGGCCAAGAAGTACAACTCGGCCGTCATCATCCCCATCGCCATTCTGGGATGGGGTGCTTGCACCATGGGCGCAGCGGCCGCCACTAGCTTTTCCGGCATCATGGCCACGCGTATCGTCATGGGTGCCCTCGAGGCGGCATACAAGCCGTGCGAGGTCTACTATCTTTCGTTGTTCTACACCAGAAGGGAGATGGGCCTCAGGGTGAGCACTGATTGGCCAGATGGGCTTCATTGCTGTAAGTGAGGCTGTCTCATTACCAAGACTGAAGTCCCCTTCCACCACTGCTTCGACTAACAGCCCCTGCGTGCATAGGGCGCAGCCAGTGGTCTGATCTCGTGGTCCGTGTTCAAATGGGAGAATCACCTCCATGTAAGTCTACCCTCATCTATTCTCCTTGCTCGTTAGCAGCCGACTAAGCATCGAGAACACATCTAGGGATGGCAATGGCTTTTTCTCATCGAAGGAGCCATCACCGTCGCGGTTGCCATCTATCTGTACATCTTCGCCCCGAGAAGCCCCGACAAGTCACGTTGGTATACCGACGATGAGCGAGCCCTGGCCCGCGCTCGTCTGGAGCAGGACTCGCAGGACCAAGACAAGCACTTTCGCTGGGCCGATGCCAAAAGGCAGCTGCAACACTGGCCCACCTGCGGTTTCGCCTTCCTGGCTCTCATGTACGGTGTAGGAGTCGCCAGTAGCTCAAACTTCCTGCCGGTATGTCACAAGCTGCCCTGCCAGTAGGTTCCAAGTCATCAGACAGCTCTAACCTGTGCTTCGCCTCTGTGCAGTCCATCATCAAGCGCCTGACCAACGACACGACCACCGCCAACCTATACACCGTGGGGCCGAACCTGGTGGCCTCCGTGTTCCAGCTGACCATTGTCTGGCTGTCTGACCGCTACCAGCAGCGCGCGTCCATCGCGTGCGCCACGACCGTGCTCTCCCTGGTCGCCTGGATCCTTCTCGGCACGCTGGACCTCAGCCGGAACCCGCAGGTCGGCTACTTCCTGGCCTACATCATCACGTCGGCGACCTTTATCCCGAGCAACATCGTCCCCGTGTGGCTGTCGTCCAATGTGCCCACCACCACGGGCCGCGCCGTCGCCCTGGGCCTGAGCTACATGGGCATGAACCTCGCGGGCATCGTCTCGTCGCTAACGTTCCGCGCCGAGGACGCCCCCGTGTACAGGCCCGCCCTGACCACCGTGGGCTGCACCCAGGGCGTCTTCATCCTTGGCGCGCTGTACCTGCGGTGGTACTACGCGCGGCTGAACAAGAGACTGGACTCCGGGGACCTCGCGCACGCGCAGGGGATGGAGGCGCGGCCTGCTTACCGGTATGCGGTTTGACCGCCGGAGTCAGGGTGGGTCGGACAATACCGAGGAACGTTGCATCCTACGCATGCATGTGTTTAAGGGGTGCAGACCGTGCTCGTGGTGGACGGTGACTCTATTACTGTAGAGCTGCAAGTGCCTACCTACTATTATAGACTCCGCATTGGGTAAAAGCATTGGCGCCGGGGCTCTCGAGGTCTTGTTCGTTGTCTGCATGTGGTCCTTAGAAGAGTGGGCAGCATGATCGTGACAACGGGTGCCATCATGGTCGATATTATTGTCACGGGCAGGTTCTATGCAAGTATCAGGGTCGAAAGGTCCTGCACAGCCACAGGAGACGCTCGTTTCTCTAATCCACTCATCATGAGAAGCACGAGGAATGAGAGACAGGCTCGCAAGACTATCGGCGATGGGTCATGTAGACGCCGCAACTGCTCGCCCTGGCACGTGCCCTGCTGCGCGAGATCACAATCGTGTGGGTCGGTCGACGAGGAGACCAGTAGCGTGGAACCGGAGACGGATGCGCACGTTCAGGAGACGCTCGTCACTTTTGTGTCATGGATGAGGGGAGGACTGTTGAATTAGGTGCTCCGCTGGAGTTGTGGTTAGCAGCGTCGCCTGTCTTAAGGGGATGTGCGGGATTAATGGGGATCACGAGGGCGATGTTTATGGATTTATAAGGTCGATAGTCTTATAGTATACTTGCCACTTTGTGTGGCACCTCAGATTATCTCGAATGCATGGCTGTGGTGGTCAACTTGATCCACTTGACCGAGCGAGATAGTGCACAGCCTTGGCTTTGCTGCCAAGTCACGCTAGCGATGATCCAGCGAAAATGAGGTCATTGTGTCTAGATCAACCTTATTACTCGAGCCTCTGCACCAGAAAAAGGGTCGGGAACACGCTGAGCCCGGTATCTGTGAATGGTTTGGATGCCAATTCTGCGATACAGCACCGGCGTTGGATCGAAGCACTGGTCACTGTCGAGATAGTCGAGCGGGAAAGTCTGATCGCCGGGGACAACGACCGGTTCGAGAAGGAGAAATGTCTGGACCGTCAACGGATAGTGCGGACGGATACAACCACTGCGCAAGAGAAAGCAGGTGTAGGTGCCCCGAGGATTGGAGATCTCTCTATGGCTCCCGAGATCCAGCCCTACTGAGGCACAATCCAGATGACGAGCCACGCTCCCATAGACCTGACGACCCTCAATGGAAAGGATGGGTGGTAGGTCCTCGTGAGTGGTGTTGAGCTGTAAATCGGCCACGAGGCCTTGGAGAAGGAGCTCAGCACGGAGCAGTGGCGATACTAAAGGAAGGCTTTCCCAGATTATCTGTCTTCCCAAAAGATTGGCGCGATCTTCTAGGGTGAGTCGTCTGTCTTCCCCTGGTAATGAGCTGCGACCGTCAACTTCCACATTCTTGAGGCGTGATATCCATGACCACGAGGGTATTCCAGACACTGAGGCGCACGGCTCGCTACTAGCTTGGCAAGTGTGCTGGCCTACCCAGCACAGATCTTGGCATATTGTTTCCTCCCAGCACCCGAGGACGTGTGTATAACCGGTCAAGCTCGTGACTTTCTGCACTATCCCTGTCAATGCCGCAAGCCAGTCTTGTGAAACAGTGGAGTTCCTGCGCGAGTAATCTGACAGCCATGACTGGCACAGAGCGTGCACGTCAGGATGGGAAAGGCTTGGTATAGGTCCCCCCAATGGTCCGCAGAGGAGAAGTCTGCTCCAAGTGACCGACCAGGGAGACAGCTGCCTCAAAATAGCCCCAGCCTCGGTGCGATAGACACTGTTACACTGCCAATGTAATTCTGGGTACAGGCAGTGGAGCACCCTGCGTGACAAGACGTGCTCTTGGAGAGTCCATCCTCTTGTGCTCAATACTGACTTGACAGTGCGAGATTGGAGCATTCCGTGGTAAAGACGAACATTGACTAGATGTCGGTCTGGTTCCGTCGAATAAGGCTGTGTGTCGCTGTCCACGGCCTCACGTACACTGGTATCAACGAGAAAGGAATATCGTGATACTTGATCTGAGTTGTAGCAGCGCTCTGGGGAGTCTTCGATTGACTCGTGCGAGATGAAACAGCCCCAGGAGCTGTCCTGGGCACTCGAGGCGGCTATGGTCAGGGAGGCGTTTGCGTAGATGTCCTTCATGTGGGCTGCCTCGCTGCGCCATTCATCTTCGTCGTCTTGAACAATACACAAGCTGTCGATCCAGATATATGATATGCCCAAGAAACGACACAGGTCGATTGCCTCGTGGAAGGTCTTTGGCAAGTGGCAAGCGTCCGACTCTTTTGGGGTATTTTCTCCGTTGTCGTGGCCGCCAGGCAACCCGCGGCTGAACTGTTGCAGTGTGCTCTTGGTGGTCATCAGAGGTTGTCGGGATCCCCAACAGTGGCTTAGTGCTGCATATCTCAGGCCCGCCCCATTCAGGGCTTCTTCCTGGGAGAGGACCAGGCGTGCCGCCGGATAGTCCGTATATCCGCTGATGCGGACCAGCCGCTTCGGCAAAACTGCTGGCTCTGCTGTGGCACCTATCTGGCAGTGCACGTGAGTGTCGATACATTCCTGCATCCATGCCTTCACAAGATCGTGCCTCTCAGGGATAAGGCTTAGCGAACCCCGTCGCCGCCACAGAGAAGGGGCGGATGAGGAATCTGTGAGCACGGTGTTAGCTTGGAAGATCTGCCAGGCACGACTCGGTTCGACTCTTCACTTTTGTTCACGTAGCTAACAAGACCGCTACACTTTGTGTCGCATGACGAAGCTTCGTCTTCTATGCCGATTTGCAGCGTGGCCCATCCGATGCCGTTGTCAGAGTCTTCATCCGCGTCCTCGAGCTGTAAGCGAACACCAGTCTCTGCGGTCATCGCAGTGCTGGATTCTGCAGAGATGGCTTGACACACTCCAAGGATGGTGTCGCAGAGCGCACATGCTGCTCCATCGAGGGCGGCCTGGAGGTCTGCAATCGTGTCGTGGTAGGGTATATCACCGCTCTGGTCCTTGCGAATGGGGAAAATGGCTGCACAGAACCGGCAGATCGGATTGACATCGTCGTGGAGATGCGTCATTGTCCTTGCGCGTTAGGGAGGGACAGGTCCGGTGGTGGTGATTGTTGCGGGACAAGGCGGGGACGGAGCGCATGTTTCCCGTATGTGATGCGGGGTTCGTGCCGTCCCTGGTTGCTGCCTGTCCACGGCCGTACAGTTGCTCCTGCCCAAACCATCGACTCAGCCACGGCCGGTCCGCGGCTTGCGTCTGCCTTGTCCAGCCACCATGCGTTGAACAGCCAACCGGCTGGCCGTGAAGTGCATAAAACGCGGCGGGGCAACAAGACCTGGCCATACCTTGACGTCGTACCGGTTTCAAGGGTTGTTACTCTAGCGCTTACCACCGAAAGCTTGTCCCAATTGGCTGGTGGCTTGTGTTACTCATGTCACCTTGTCAGATCAGTTGTGTATGGCCGTGGATACGAAATTAGCTATATTCCTCGCCTCGTCCTCGACCTATTTCCAGCGCTTTTTTGTCCATCTCCGTGCGTATCCTAAGGTGGCCAGGCCCTCATGAGTCTGCAGCACACTCACGATCCCGCGACAGCCATTCACTGCCCAGACTGACAACGGCCCACTACGGTAACGTACCTGAGGGTAAGCATAACCACCATGTCCGCCACAACAACAGCTACAGCGGAGCCGGCGCACAGCACGCCGTCAGGGGCGGCAGCACCGCTCCCGCACGTCACTATCCGCCCCGCGCGCTCCGGCGACCTGCTCGCCATCGCCCACCTCTGGGCCGCCGCCTTCATGGACGACAGCCTGGTCGGCGAGACAGTCCACCCGCACCGGGCCGAGTACCCGCACGACGTGTACCTGGGCAGCCTGTGGAGTCTGCGGCCCAAGTACTGGGACTACCGGTGTGTCCTCGACATTGCGGTCATCTCGGCCCAGCAAGTGGACAAGTACGTCGACCGGCACTGCGCGGGCGTCGTGAGGGCGGGCAACGATGTTCCCGACGTGCTGAGCAGGGAGGATCGCGAGGCTGTTAATGATGTCGCGAAGGTCACGACCGGGAGCGGGGACGTGGTTGTCGGGCTTGCGCAGTGGACGAGATATGGGGACGGAGAAGGGGTGAGAAAGAGGCTACCTGGATGGTGGGATCCCCGTGAGTTTTCCCTTCTTTTCACTATCCCGTCATGTTCTTGAAGCCTCCACCACACTACCTATTTGTTGTAGGTACTTAGGTAGCGTTGGAGCTGGGCACTGCAATTCTTCCACGGGCGCCGCGCTGACACAACTTTAATTCGCGCCATGCCGCCAGGCAACCTCATGCTCCCCCTGACAACCAAGGCCATGGCTCTCCACGAGCGCATCTGGCCCAACCGCGCCTCGGACCCTGCCCAGCGGGACATCTTCAGCCGCTCGCTGCCGCACTGGATCCACCTCTTTGCCGACCCGGCTCGGGCCGAGTGCTGGAACCTCGCGACCTGCGCGGTGCACCCGTGCTTCCAGGGCCAGGGGATCGGCAGGAAGCTCGTGGCCGTGGGCAAGGCGCGGGCCGACGCCGAGCGGGTCTGTGCGGTGCTGACGAGCTCGCAGGGCAAGGACGGGTTCTACCAGAAGGGGTGCGGGTTCGAGGAGCAGTTTGGGGACATGTGCGCGGGCGAGGGGAACCCGATGGGCATCTTGCGTGGTCGGGGAGGGCTCATGTACTGGTACTGGCCGGAGGGCGTAAAGACACCCAGCACGAGGGAGACGCGGGCAGAAGGGCCAAGCGGTGATGTGCCTGACGAAGTGCAAGAGGAGGTTGCACAGGGGGCGCCCATTATAGCATAGGGTGCTGGGTGGTTGATTCCCGTTTCGTTGGAGGGTAGCTGGATCTGTTTTCAAATAACCATGACTTTCGGGAGCACGCATGGTACATGTTGTTGCCTAGCTAACGTGACCATCATTCCCGGCCGGGTTGGCCTCACTTTCGGCGATTCCTGGTGGGACAGGGGGCCGGGGGCACGGGCCATTGAGCCCATTCCGGTACCCCAACTAACCCCAGATTGAGTTCATTCCGGCCAGCGAAAAATGGGCTAACCCACAGCTAACCCAACCCCAAGCCCAACCCCAACTAGCAGGGGTCCGAACCTGTGGGGCCCAGTGGCGCCCTCATATGCGTACATGCACAGGCCGCACGACGACGAGGGAGGCGCGTCAGACTGCCAGAGCAAGCAGGCAGGCAGGAGGCGCGCGCAAAAGAGAGAGGCAGAGAGAGGAGGGCCAAAAAAATGCCACGCCTAGGAGTCGAACCTAGCTCTTCAACTGTGACTAGCTCGAGCGTCCGGGTCGGATGGCTCCACAAGCTCAGGTCAGGGACCCTTATTCCTGCGGCCGACGTGGGAATGGAGAGCTATATAGCAGTGACGTCATGACCGCTAGACCAGCGAGGCTCTCTGGCTGTTTGTTGAATAGTCAGTCGCTTATTTGGATATATAAGGCTCAGGCAGGCAGGCAGGTCGGCAGGCAGGTCGGCAGGCTGGTCGGCAGGCAGGCCGGCAGGCAGGTCAGCAGGTAGTACGGCGGCAGCGGTAGCAGGTCGGCGGAGTAGTGGCAGTTCGTCGGAGCCGGTAGCAGGTCGGCAGGTAGTTAACATAGCGAAAATACCTCCGAAGCGGAGGAAGGGGTGCCGGCAAAAAGAGCTACCCACTTGAGAATCTCTACGAGACGAAGAGATTCTCAAGTAGGCGCAGTAATCCGGCCCGGAGTTGAACCAGGGATTCCGCTTAGCAATTGCTAGCGACGTCTTACCGCTTGACCACCGGGCCTGTTTGTTCTTAAGAGACTGGCTGCTTATTTGGATATATAGGGTCTGGCCGTGGCAGGCTGGCAGAGGTCGGCAGGTAGGTCGGCGGCGGCGGCGGTAGCAGTTCGGCGGCGGTAGTAGTTCGGCAGAGGTATAGTAGTTTAGCGGCGGTAGTAGTTCGGCGGCGGAGGTAGGTCATTCCCGGCCCGGAAGGGTACGGGCTATTAAGTTCATTCCGGTACCCTGAGTTCATTCCGGCCAGCGTAAATGTGCTAACCCCTAGCTAACCCAACCCTAACTAGTAGGGGTCCGAACCTTAACCCCCCCAGCTCAGCTACGCGTGTACGGCTAGGCACTGCTGCGAAAAGGGGGACAAGGTAAGTAATAGGTAATAAAAAGGAGATAAGCGCGTACGCGTAACAGCGCGATCCCGGGGAGTCTAAAGGGGAGAGGGGACGCGCGTAAGAGGAGATAGAGGGAGGAGGAGAATGAAACGGACGCGCGCGCGCATTTCGATTGAACTATAATACTAGCTTAGGGTCTCTTCCCAAGAATATACGCAAGAGTCGAAGATCAGAAGTAGTACCGAGAAGAGAATCGCATACGACAGGTAGTACTCCACGATGGACCGCAGCAGCCAGGGAGGCGACTACGAGAGCGATTACGGCAGCGCCGCGCAGCAGCGGCAGCAGCAGCAGCAGGAGGACGCGAGAGCTACAGCAACGACCGAGCCAGCAGTAACACCAGAGCTCTATCTATATCGGGCAAGCCGCGTACTAGTCTGCACACTATGTAGGGCAGGAATCGCAGCGGCCGTAGGTGGTGTAGTTACCCACTACCGACAGAGGCACCAGCTTAAGGGCGGCCAGCTACGGGCAGTCAAATCGGCGGCAGCAGTAGCAGCAGCAGCAGTAGAGGGCCGTGGAGGGCTCGTAGAGCCGCACGAAGCAGAGGTACCGGCAGACGGTAGTCCAGCTATCCCGCAGCTCCAGGTCCACTCCGGATTCCGCTGTAGGGCGTGCCGGTTCGTAACGAGGAGCCGGGACGAGGTCCAGAAGCACCAGGCGAGGGAAGCAGCCGACGGCGATACTAGCCACTGCGAAGGCTCGCTAGGTACGGGCTACGCGCGCTGGAACGAGGTACAGCTACAGTCGTTCTCGTCAGCGAGGCGCCGTACGCGGTACTGGATTGTAGAAGCGCTAGCGGTAGGGCGGCAGGCGACCCCAGAGGCGGCAGCGGGGCCGGACAGCGGCGGCGGAGGTCAAGTCTGGGAGGCCCACATGGCGGCGTACGAGGCTAAAGCGGCCGCCGAAGAGGCGGAGCGGGGCCGGATTATCGACTACGAGGCCGGCGTCGACTATGAGTCGCCGTGGGTGAGCCAGATGGGCTGGGCGGCGCATCTGGCCGGCAAGGATATGGCGGAACTACGGCGCGCCGCCGAGCCAGGTCTATCGACGAAGGAGCTAGCTAAACTAAGCTGGTCCGTCCGGAAAGAGAGGGAGGCTTCGGAGGCGACGCTCGTACGGCTGGGCCAGAGCTTCAACCGGGTAATCGAGCGGTGTAGCCGGCGGATCGGCCAGGTACCCGTGGAGACGCTCTGCTGGCTAGCAAGCCGCGACCCGAACCGGCCGTCGCCGCGGCCGTTCCGCGTTAAGCAGGAGGCGCATACGATGGAGAAGTACCGGAGCTACTGGCGGCGCTATCTCTGCTACTGCGTCCGGGTCTTCCGGCTCGGCCGTACGGAGGCGAGGAGGAAGCACCAGGTCCAGTTTACCGACCAGCAGTGGGCCGCTCTCGAGGCTATTATAGAGGCTCTCGATAGTACGGAGGAGGAGAGCTCCCGGGTAGGGGGCGGCGGCGAGGAGGAGGAGAATCGCGAGGGCGGCGGCGACGACGGATATCTAGACGAGGCCGTCTTCACGTTCTGTGTTCTGTCGCTTACGCAGCGGGTACTAGTACAACCGTACGTAAACCCGCTACTACACTTCACTACCGTACTCGCGATCGACCCCGTCCGAGCACGATTTCGGCCGCCGGCCGAGTTTACAACACTACTAGCGGGTCTAGCGTGGTGTAGCCGCGTACTACTACTAGAGTACTTCTTCGAGCACGTCCCGATCCAGGAAGAGGATAGTACTACGGACTCCGGCGAAGGGGAGGACGAAGGGCGTAGCCAGCTCCAGGCTAGGGATATCGACGCATTTATGGACGGCTATCGGCAGTGGATCGCAGACGGCTCGTACAGCCCGTTCAGTACGCTAACCCGGTTCTTAACGATCGGAAAGGGCTACCGCCAGAAGGAAGGGGGGGCAGCACGGATTATCTGGGAGGACGGGAAGCAGGCGCTCCGGCTACACGGCTTCCGGATCGAGGTCCAGAACTTCCGGCGGATGGCCCAGGGGCTCGTCTCAACAGCCGAATCGGCGCTCGACGGGCTTCTGTACGGCCAGTCGGCGGTACTACTAGGACGGATCGAGCTTAGCAAAATCAACGACAGCGTAATGTACGAAGGGGGTGGGAAATCGTTCATCTCAAACCCGCAGAACAGCTGGCTTCAAGCCGGGCCCCGCGTCGTTGCCGAGCTCGTTTCGGAGAGGCTCTGGTCGTCCCAGCGGCAGCAGTACCACCGGGAGCGGTCGCAGAAGTGGCTAAACCAGATCGGAACGCTGAAGAGCCAGCTACTCGTACTAACGCACGTCTGGGGAGGCCAGCCAGGCCGAGGGCCCGAGATCACGAGCGTGCGGTATCTAGATACGAAGCAGCTAAGCCGGAGCGTCTATATCTTCGACGGGCAGGTAATGCTCGTAACGGACCGAGATAAGGCCAAGTCGATCCGGGGCTACGGCCGAAAGGTCGCACGCTTTCTCCCGGAACGGGTCGGGCAGCTACTTGTCGTCTATCTCGTCTGGCTAGTCCCGTTCGAGGAGATGCTTCTCGATGCGATTCGGGCTCGAAAACCGTCGGAATCGCTGCGGCACTGGCTATGGAAGGACGGCCGGAAAGGCCGCTGGGGAACGGACGTGCTTACGAAGGAGCTTAGGGCAGCTACGGCGGGCTATCTCGGCGTCGAGCTAGGTACTTCGACGTACCGCCATCTCGCGATCGAGCTAGGCCGTACGATTCAGGGGCTTATCGTACAGCAGAAGGAGCTCGAGGTCGGCGCGGCCGATGACGGATACGGGCCCGAGGATGAGGAATTCGACGAGGCTACTGGCGAGCTACGACCGAGGGACCGGACGGAGGTAATCTGGGATCTGCAGGCGACACACAGCAGTGCCATGGCACGATCGCACTACGCGATCAACATCCAGTTCCCAGGGCAGCTACAGCCGCAGATGATCGCCAACTACCGCGAGATCAGCCGGCTCTGGCACCAGTATCTGAGCTGGGATAGCCAGGGTAAGGGCAAGTCGCCGGACCAGGCGCAGAAGCGGACGAGGAAGCGGAAGCGAGAGTCTACGGAGGCCGAACTCCCAGGTAGGGAGGAGACGATAGAGTCGAGCCCAGAGCCGGCGAAGCAGAGGAAGACGCTCCCAGAAGCCGTCGGGGAGGTCCGGCGCCGGGTCCAGCACGGGCTCGAATCGATTATTGGGGCCGGTGCGCGCTGGAGGACGGCAGAACAGGAGCAGGCCATGGTCCGGATCATACAGATGCGAGGCGGCTCCGTACTCATCGTCGTACTACCGACGGGCGGCGGCAAGAGTCTACTATTTATGGTCCCGGCGGTACGAGGGTTAAACGGCGGCGTTAGTATCGTCGTCGTTCCGTTCGTAGCGCTGATCGACGATCTCGTCGCGCGGGCACGCTCGTTCGGGATCGACTGCGTACGCTGGAGGTCGGCTGAGGAGGAGGGCCGGGAAGCTAACTCGCTCGTGCGCGTGGCTAGTCTAGTCGTAGTCAGCGCCGACCAGGCAAGCAACCACGAGTTCTGCAACTACGCAGACACGCTACGGAGCCGGAGGCTACTACGGCGGATCTTCATCGACGAGTGCCACACGATTATCATGGACGTCGGCTACCGGAAGAGGCTCGTGGAGCTGAAGGGGCTGTACCGGTACGACTGTCCGGTAATCTTGCTTACAGCTACGCTCCCGGTGAAGCTAGAGGGCTGGTTCCGGCAGCAGATGATTGCGG